ATGCGCAGTTTTCGCCAGAGAACCCCAAAGTTGGATTGTTATTTCTTAGAACTTGTTTATTTTGTTAAATCGATTTGCGTCTAGCCGGACCGTGCAACTTTACTACCCGCAGTTCCGCATACGTATTTGTCTTCAGTGGAACGGCAAAGCAAAATAATGCTTGGCTATAGGCCTGGTTACGAAAGCAGCCTGTGGCTACGTGGGTGAGACGGTCGCTTCGGGATCGAGATGTCCGAGGTTCGAATCCCACAAATATAGAATCTTTTTTAATTTTTTTCGCGACGGTCGGTAATAACAATAAAATACGCCGTAAGCGTGTTTTGATTGCGTTGGTTAGTCTCTGGGGTAAGTTTTTCTGGTTTAGATTGTACGCGATATACCCGACCGATTTTCGTTTCTGCGCATGCGGGACAAAAATCGTTCTAACAAAGTAATCCAAATAACAATCCAACTTTGAAATAAACCGTAAAAATAAACGTCTTTAGCTAACGATTTAGAATCATGAAATTAAGGGACAACAAACGGCAACATTGTTGGGTGCCTGAGTAGACCAGTGGGACGTAGACGCTAGTATTAGTTTCAACTCTTTAAAGGGTCGTTTAGATTCTCAGATAATTTGCGCAAACAAATTGTACCAATAAATCGTAAGGTGTAAACAGAAACCGTTAGTTTGTGTAGTTCAAATATTTGTCTAGAGAAAATAGAGATTGTTGTGGCATTTTGTTGGTTTTAACGTCATTATTTGTTTATCGAATGTAACGAAATTGTTAGTGAGTATTTTATGATAGTTTAATAATACCGTATGATCGAAAAGAAACGGCGTCAGCAATGGCTATGAAATGAGCCTTTCCCAGCCTGGACGCTTTTTTGCGATCATGGGGTATTTGTTTATACAACCCACCTACTGGTTTCAGAAATATTTATATCAGTTAAGTACCAATCCGAAAACAAAAAATGAGAAATTTTGAAATGAGCCAAATGAGGTTACGCTTATGTCTTCTATTTGGGTTATTTCAAGGTTATTTAAATAAAATCTGTCAGACAAATACCACCAACTAACTGAATGTGTAAACGAAAAAATTGGTTTGCGCAACTTTTGTACAAATCACTGAGTAAAGAATAAAAAGGGAACCTTTCTATATTTCACCTAAAGAAGAAACGGGGACGGAAGTCGCCATATCAGAAAACCTCTGGTGACAATGATGACAACCGTTGGTTCACGTCACTGGTCGAACTTTGACAATTCGATTTGTTTCGGTTTGACGTATGGTGTTTTGATTTGTGTTGAGAGCTGTAAGCTCACAGAAAACTTAAGTCTTTTTTTTATTTAAATCATTTTAATGACTTAAGTCATTTAATTTTAACAATAACAATTTTAAGTCATTTTTCGAAAGCTGACTTAAAATTTAAGTCTTTTTCAAAATTATTTGTGATTTAAATCATTATTCCGAAATAGACAAAGATTTAAGTCTTTTTAGAAAAGACTTAAGTCATTAAAAAATTTAAGTATTTTTATGAAAGACAGAACAGAAATAATATTAGATATAAACAGATGTATTTTTAAGACATATTAGAGTGATATATCAGGGTTCTAAGATCAAAAGCAGTAAACTCCACTATTTTTCTATTTTGCACTTGAAACTGATAATAATTTTTTTAGTGAACTCGATTATTGAAATAACCGACATCGCTCGATTATAAACGAGTGATGCAAATGACGAGTACCAAGCGACGAAAGCAAACGATCCTAGAATGAAATAAATTGAAATCCGATTTTAATGTGACATACTCGATAAAAAGCCGAGCGAATGTTCTACATACATTGCAGGTAACAAATTTATACGACGCCGTATATATATATATATATATATATATATATATATATATATATATATATATATATATATATATATATATATATATATTTATCCGTTGCGTATCTGAGACAAAATTTTACGACCTACATCGACAATGCTTTGAAATAAACTAAATCAAGCGATCAAACGAATCGCTCGTCGTTTGCTACTTGCCATTCATCACCGAAAGAATCTCTACCCTGCGCACGCAACTTATGCTTGGCGTTAAGGAGTACTTACAAGCGGCGGACGAAAACCCGTATTTTTAAATACGAGCGATATTTCGCTCGAGCGATCGCTCGATTATTGCAATCACGTGATACTCGAGTACTCGATTATTGAAATTAATCGGTTTTCCCATCACTAAAATTTTTGTCAAAGAAAGCAAACTCCCCTATAAACTTCGTTGTAAACTTTTGGTTCAGTATCAATTGCAAATTTTAAATCATCATATCAAGTCAATCTTTTGATATGCAGTAATGCTTTTGATATTAGACATTAGACCCCCAATATGCAATGACTAAGGAACACAAGAACACGCTACGCCCATATACAGACTGGAGCAGAATTTGTGTTGTTCTTCGCCATTTTTTTTTGGAGGCAACGGATGTGTCACCAGCGACAATTTTAGCGATTCTTAATAGTTTGTTGTGTGTAGCGAACTTTGTATAAACTTTATTACAATGGTGATTTGTTCTGCTGTCAAGTGTAAAAGCCGGAACGATAAGAGAGAGCCAGGAATTACGTTTCAATGTGTTTTTTTGTCATTAATTAGTATGATACCCCGCCTAAATAGGAGTTAAAACTCAAGAAAGGGAAAACGCACAAGAGATCTGTAAGGTCGCGGTGATCAACCCCCTCCTAAAGATTCTACATTTTACCACCTAATTAAGCAGCATACATCATAGGCGTAGTCAAAACATTTATCAACAATATAAATATCTGTTCAAACAGCTAAGTTAAGAAAAATATGCCACGGCAATGTTTGGTGGCATGGTAACAAATTGGTTTCGGGTGTTATTGGTCCTTGTATTCTTTACTCATTGGATATATGAAATAAATCGTATTTCCGTGTTTCTTTTTCCTGCCAAATAAATGAAACTAGTTGCTCCAATGACTAAAGAATACAAGGACATATAACACCCGAGACCAAATTGTTACCATGGCTCCAATCAGTGCCGTGGTCATATATTTTTCTTAACTTAGCTGCTTGAAGGGATATTTATATTTTTGATAAATGTTTTGACTACGCCTATGGTGTAGGCGGTCGGTGGTATCATACTAATTAATTACGAAAAAAACGTATTAAAATGTTAACAAAAGGTACAAAACTCGTATCGACGATTAGCACATCAAATACATATAGTATCAAAAAAATAATTACCAAATTCAATAAGAAAACGCTAAAAAGGTGGAGTGGACTGTTTATTTACATATGAAACGCAACTCCTGGCTCTTTCTTATCATTGCGTTTACAAAGTTCACTACACACAACAAATTATTAAAAATCGCTAAAACTGTCGCTGTTGACGAGGTGGTGACTCATCCGTAGGCTCCAATATGATGCGTCTAACGTAACAAATTCTACTGCAGCCCGTATATGGGCGTTACAGGTCCTTGTATTCTTTAATCATTGAGTTGCTCCATAAACTGTTTCACACGTAGAACAGTATTTTAGAAAATCGTCTAATTTACAAGTGTGTCTCCAAACAGTAATGCACTTGACTGCTGACATTTGTTAGTCATGACGATTTGATTCACGACATTCAATTTTAAAATCAAGATATTCAAATCAATCAAATTGGTATTTAAAAAAAAACAGAGAAACATGAAAGAAAACAAACAAAATAAAGGTTGAATCCGAAGCAATCAAAACACGCTTATCGAGACAGTTTCCTAACTTAATGTTTCACACAAAAAAAAATAAAATGCACTTGTTGCTTTAACGTTTATAGTTTATATGCTATGTTAATTTTAAATAAATTAGTGTTAATTATTAAAAATTTCATTTTTACACGTACCTATACCGGGCGCGTCTCAAAAGTATCAAACCCCTATAACTTTTTTTTTTTGATTTGACATCTTAATATATGACATAAATTAGGATTGATTGACATATCGTCCTATTGCTGCCAAAAGTCACTAACTAACATTTTCCGAACAACCAAAAATTCAATCACTAACTATATTTTGAAGCGGAGAATCGATTGAAAAAGTCATTAGCTACGATTTCTGGCTATTTATGTTTTATTTTGATACCGAATAGTTACTAACTATAACATCTTTATGCAATGCAATTCATCTTTAGACGCGTTTTCTCGAAAGTAACAAAAAGTAAGTTAGTGACTTTTGGCAGCAATGGGACGATATGCAATTGTTTTTGGTCACTTCCTGTTTTACCGGAAATGACTATAACTTTTGACTTTTAAATGACACCCTCGGTGTTTTTTTTGCTTTATTCGATAGAAAATGACACTCAAGAATAGAATGACATTTCATATGTCAACTTTTGATATTTTCGCATATGGTTTGAAATTGTAACACGCGGTTCCCAACGACAATTTGACTCGAAATACCAAGTGTGCGGTACCAAATTATTCATAAAAAAAAAATATTTTTCCAAATATGCTAACGAACCACTCTTGTTCCATTTGAAAAAACTGAGATATTATTAAAAATACGATTTGAGCATCTTTTAAGCCGCCAGGACAAGACACAAAAAAAATTATTTTTCCAAGGCTCCTTGATTAAAAATTAATGCTTTTAACACAGCCATGCTGCACTTTAAATTAAAATTTAAGATACGATTTTTTTTAAACGAAAATGTCAACAGTTGACACATGGTATGTCATTCAGAGTGTCATATTCTATTGAATAAAGTAAAAATATACCGAGGTGCCATTCAAAAATCAAAGTTGTAGTCATTTCCATTGAAACAGGAAGTGAAAAAATGCGCGATGCCTTTGAATTTGGTTGGCATCCAGAATAAACAGATAAAAATTTCAAAATTGTCCGATTGATAAGAGACGCCGAATTACTGAAGTGTCCTATTACAGAAGTTCTACTGTATTTTTATATATAGTATTACAAAAAGGTTTTATTATTTATCTTATCGCGCTATTGTGTTTCTAGTAGGTACATAAATAAATCAGTAAATTTTTATTCGAATTTTAACTAAAATACATAAATAATAAATATTAATTATCCTCCAGTTCCGTTATTTCGTCCAATTTATCAAGAAATGCCTGCCGAGAGTCTGAAATAGAAATTCATATTAAACCTAAATTAAAAAAAATATATGATTTTTTATTTACTTGGTTCTGCACATAAACTTAAAATCTGCATATCGGTGAAGTTTTTACAATGAGCGCGAAAATCAGCCACTACTTCCAGGAACGCATCCCAAAATGTCGGTTTAGGATCATCAATTTTTATTTTATCCTGAAATAAAGCAACAAAATTGAATAAAACCGTTTTAAGATTTAAAGCAAAAACACACGTGGCGGCTTTTCGGCGGTTTATAGGCGGCGCCGCTCCTGATCTTCACCGCCTGTGTACGTCTGTACATACGTTGTACACACATCCGTACGCAGTGCCTTCTATTAAAAGATCAGCCTTCGGGCGAGATTTATGACGTCACGCTAGTTAGATATAACGGATTAATAAATATGTTGTAGAATACATGGAAAACATAATTATTCCTCAGATTTTTGGTTTGTATTTTAAAAATGATATAGTTTACATGAAATATACATAATATACAGTTAATAACTACAACATATATACCTATTTATAGTAATAAATACTTTGGCAAATAAACTATGAACCATACAAATGCAGCAAATGTTTTACAATGTTCAAAGATAATGGGTAAAATGTAAATATATTTTAAATTTTGGGGTTTGAAAATCGATCTAATTTAACAAAAAACATTCAATATCTACTAATAGTGATGTATTATTATTTGCATTCACAAAATTTACATGTATATTTTGCAAGTATCAATGTTCGAAAAATTATATTTACAGATAATACAATATTATCTAAAAAAGGCGTCAGCGATGGCTATGAAATGAAGATCGCTGGCATTTTATATGTAAAATTATTCTAAAATTTTTGATTTTCTTGGGATTTTTAGGTTCGGGAAAACGCTGATTTAAGTTTTCATTATTTTTATTTGGTTTAAAAAAACGTTTCGGCTAACTATAGCCTTCATCAGTGTTGTGTCATATGAGAAAAATAGTGTCGAATATAATCCAAAAAATTACATATACAATATAATTCACACCTCATAATGTTTACTGCAATTAATAAACTAATATAAACTTATCAATAGATGACCACATATTTTTTAAAATTATTATTCTTAACACTAAAATTATCATTTTTATTGTTGTCGATCCAATAATATATAATGTGTTCTTTTTTTATAAATTGGATTAGGATCGAAAGAAATCAACAGAAGTCCTTTGTTTTAAATTTGTCGACGTTTCGCAAAATTTATTTGCATCTTCAGGACACTACAAAGTTAAGAGAGCAAAAATTACAATCAAATAAAAGTTTTTTCAAAAATTTAACAACCTAAAATACATATCAGTGGAATTCCACACATATACAATTGGTAAAACTACCCTAATGTTAACAATTAAATAAAATATATGTATATGTTACTCACATTTAAATCTGGACTTTCTTAGTCATATCCATTAATACACGGATGGTATAGAGGGGAGTGGTATATATCCCTTTTTTCCTTTTAAAACACATAACACACTTACAAAAAAAAAAAAAAAAACATATAACACAATTATGTATAGAGAAATATCACGAAAATCTTTTCCTTTCACAGACAAGCAGTGCAGATGTACCTACGTTGACCGTACGTTCAACTGTTCTTTATCTCCAGGTAAAAATTATATTAGTATTTTATCAACTAGAATTAGTTGCTCTCTGTATACGGTCAACGTAGGTACATCTGCACTGCTTGTCTGTGAAAGGAAAAGATTTTCGTGATATTTCTCTATACATAATTGTGTTATATGTTTTTTTTTTGTTTTTTGTAAGTGTGTTATGTGTTTTAAAAGGAAAAAAGGGATATATACCACTCCCCTCTATACCATCCGTGTATTAATGGATATGACTAAGAAAGTCCAGATTTAAATGTGAGTAACATATACATATATTTTATTTAATTGTTAACATTAGGGTAGTTTTACCAATTGTATATGTGTGGAATTCCACTGATATGTATTTTAGGTTGTTTGTTAAATTTTTGAAAAAACTTTTATTTGATTGTAATTTTTGCTCTCTTAACTTTGTAGTGTCCTGAAGATGCAAATAAATTTTGCGAAACGTCGACAAATTTAAAACAAAGGACTTCTGTTGATTTCTTTCGATCCTAATCCAATTTATAAAAAAAGAACACACTAAAATTATCTACATTGACTATGGAGTACGCAGTAAACATTATGTGCGTGGTGTGAATATTTTATATGTAATTTTTTGGATTATATTCGACACTATTTTTTTCATATGACACAACACCGATGAAGGCTATGTTAGCCGAAACGTTTTTTTTTAAACCAAATAAAAATAATGAAAAACCAAATGAAAACTTAATCAGCGTTTTTCCCGAACCTAAATCCCAAGAAAATCAAAAAATTTAGAATATTTAGAAACAAGGTTCAAGAATATCAAATTTTCCAAGATTGTAAAATTCTAGTTAATTATTTTATGTGTACAGTTATTTAGGGAATGTCATCGATGTTCATTTCCAAGCCAACTAGACGCCGATTTTTTTCGATGATACGGTATAATTCTTACGTAAAATGTAAATAAAATTAGACCAATTAAAACAAAGAAATATGAATTTCTTAGTATTTTTAGTAACACCTTTATTCTTAAAACTTAATTTTGTATTATGCAAATATACCAATTTTATTGTTATTTTATTCATATTGTATTCAGCCATCACTTAAATATTTGATATTAATTTGGTATTATAAATAATCAACACTATTCATTAAAAATTACTGAACAAATATATGTTATGCTTGACATACATTATATATTATCAAACAAAAACACATTCTTCTTTTAAACTGTATCAGTCTTGTCTTTACAAAAATCTTTTTTAAGTGGAGTGGAGATTGGAGTGGAGATTCCACAATATGAATAAAATAAACATAATTGTCCAGTTTTCATTAATACCATCATGGGAGAATATTATTTTTAAATTTATTAAAGATATTTTCAATAGAATTCTCTTGATTTATAACTCGTACCCACTTTTCTTGCTCTTCTGGACACTTTAGGCTGCCTAGTATAACTATCTTTTCCACCAGGAACACAACAAAGATGAGACATAGCACCAAAAACACACTCCACTTAAGCTTTATTGATGAACTGTTAGAGTCTTAAAAAACACACACAAAAATCACGATAAGTAAAAAATGTATGGGCATTTTTAGGTTAAATCACTTACACAATGTGTAATTTTTCAATTTTTCTATTTTTTTATGCGAAACCGAGAGTGACCATATATCTAACTTAAACACCAAAATAATTAGTTTTTTGCACTACAATAATAAATAATACCAAAAATCAAAGAGTTAAAACCAAAAATCAACCGACAAAATATGAAACGGAATCTAACCCAATATCTAAGTATGTACAGCTGATGAAGTAAACAAAAGTCCGCCCCCAGGCTGATCTTTTAATAGAAGGCACTGACGTACGTCCGTCGACGACATACCGTGTGTTTTGTAACGTTGAAGTCCCATTAAGGAACCTACGCTGGCGGCAAAGACAATGCGCCGCGTCGCCCAAAAGCCGCCGCGTGTTTTCGCTCTTCCCGTGTAGACCAATAACTTTAGATTGTTTCAACAAACAAATAGAGTCGGAACGAATTAACCAACTTGAAGCAGTTGGTTTCTAATTAACAAGTAGAGGACAAACTCAGTCTTGCCCATATATTTGATAAGAGAAGTGCCCGCCATCTTCGATTTTAAGTTTTTTTTGCGATTTTGCACCCTATCGGCATTTTTCGACAAAAAATGTAATGAATAAATTGGTAGAGCACTAAATTCCCTCAACTTTGGTACAGGGTGTTCCTTAATGACATGCTTAATTTAAGGGCGGGATTCTTAGATCAATTCTGAGAGAAAAACTTCATATGAATGTATGTCCTAAACATCTTAATTTCTGAGATACAGGGTGGTAAATTTTTCTAAAAAATTTAAATTTTTTCTATTTAATTTTTCATAATAACTCTGATTTCAACTCTGATTCAACTCTGAACTCCGATTTCTCAACTTCGTCATTGACTTACCACTTTTTTTTCTTGCTAGCTTGTATGAATTTTTACTCCCATCGCGTGTAAAGAAGTGTCACTTCAATAAGAAGCGACAGAAGTTGTAGAAAACTTAATTCTCGACAACTTTTGTATAAGCAAGAATTTTGTATGACTTTTCTTAGACTTTGTTTTCTTGTATTATTTATTATATTTACCTTTAATCTGTTATATATCCTCTCAGCTTCATTTCTGATTTTTTCTGCTTTTTTGGAGAAAAAGTCTAACTCGTCTCCATCCATTTTCCACTCTTTAGTGTTACCAATATATTTTCTTAACCTAAAAACATATTCTCTATTATAGATCCTAAAGTATTATGGTGGAAAGACATGGTACAGTATTTTCCAAGTCAGTTGGCTTAGTTGGATCAGTTAGATTAGTACCAAACAACTTCAGAGCCGAAACCAGTTCAAGTGGCTTTGAAAATACTTTAATATACACTAAACGCAATTTTGCGACGGTATACCTGGTGCGTCTCAAAAGTGGCTTACCCCGATAACTTTTTTAGTTTTTCGGATAAAAAAAGAGATTTGGTTTGTTAGTATATGACATAAATTAGGATTGATTAACGTATTCAATTGTTTTTGGTCACTGTTTCACCGGAAACGACTACAACTTTTGATTTTTAAATGGCACCCTCGGTATATTTCTATTCGGACATTTTTACTTACGAACAAATCGTATTTTAAATTTAAATGTAGAGTGCCATGGCTGTGTTAAAAACGCTAATTATTAATCAAGGAGACTTGGAAAAATAGTTTTAATCGTCTAATGTTTTACACCGACGTACGGAAGCGGATGACATTATCCAGCGAATCACAAAACAAAAGTGGAGATGGACTGGACATATTGCCAGAATGGCAGACGGGAGATGGACCAAAAGACTTATAGAGTGGAGACCAAGAGCCGACAAACGTAGCCAAGGCAGACCTCCAACCCGATGGACCGACGACCTGAAACGAATAACAACTAACTGGATTGCAACAGCTAAAAACCGCGAGAACTGGAGACGTTTGGAGGAGGCCTATGGTGAACTATGGACGTGAAAGGGGACTGCGTGATGATGATGAATGTTTTTCGTGTCTTGTACTGGCCGGCTGAAATATGCCCAAATCGTATTTTTAATCATATCTCAATTTTTTCAAATGGAACAAAGGTGGGTTATTAGCATATTTGGAAAAAGCATTTTTTTACGAATAATTTGGTACCACAGACTTGGTATTTCGAGTCAAATTGTCGTTACGAACGTCGTATGCAAAAATGTCAAAAGTTGACATATGATATGTCATTCTAGTCAGAGTGTCATTTTCTATTGAATAAAGTAGAAATATACGGAGGGTGCTATTTAAAAATCAAAAGTTGTAGTCATTTCCACCAGTGAAAGGGGAAGTGACCAAAAACAAATGAATACGTCCAATCAATCCTAATTTATATAATATACTAACATACCAAATTTTGGTTTTTTATCTGAAAAAAATAAAAAGTTATAGGGGTGAGCCACTTTTGAGACGCATTCGGTATGTCTCGACTGGGTAAACAAGAAGAACAAAATTGAGTACAACTGTAGAATTTTCTGTTTTTTTGAACAGAAAATTCCTGAACACTCACCTACGAATTGTATCCAGTACATGAGGATGTTTTTTAAACATTAACTCGTCAACGTGTTCTTCTATTTCACTAAATTCATTTAAACACTTTAGAGCTTCGTCCAACAAAGCTTTCTCTAAACCTAAAAAAAATAAAAATTAAAAAACATTTTTGAAAAAATACCAAAAACTAACCTAAATTCATTTTAATTTTTGAGTCCCACCTAACCAGATCCGACTCTCTTTTTAATCGCTCTAATCTTCGTTTCCTAGATTCTATGTCCATCGTGTATGACACTTCGTTTAGTTCGTCGTTTGTAATATTGAGGTTAGGAATCGCTTCAAACGAATCGCCTATTTCGCTAAGCGATTTGCCGCCTGTTGTTAGCGACTCTTTAATTGCAAGTAACGATTTTGCCATCTAGAACAGTGATAACAAAAATTAAAAAATAACTATCGATCGACATGTGTAGTCGTTATTTTTGGACAACGTTACCCGAAAAGGAACAAGATCTAACTAGCAAATTGCCTGTTTAGCAAATGCATAAAAATCATAAAATTGAAATATGACTGAAATCCAGTATACAGGCCCGGCAATGGATCTCTAGGCATAGGAATTACATGCATTGGAATGAAACGCCTATAAAAAGTCTATGCTTAAACAGAGATGGACAACAACTTCCCCGTTTCCACTTCCACTACAACTGTCTACTTAGACAAACTCCAATAAGATAACAAATTTTGGAAATTCCGCCACCTCCCATCCACTCATGATACCCATCTCCCTGCCCTTTATTTATCGCCATTATTTTATTTCCCTTCCCGCGCCTCCGCACCTCGCTATTCCGACTCCCGTCAGTTCATCACAGAGTTACAGAGATATTCCTAAAAATCCTTATTACTCCTTATTAGGCGCGGTATTGGCGACATGCCCGAAGAAGTTGATATCTTTTGAAAAGATTTTATTTCATTCATCTACTAAAGTTGAACCCATATTTTCCCCCAAAAAATGTAAACAAAAAACAAAATTTAAGTTAAGAAACAACCTAAATTCGGACAAATATTTTAGTGATTTTCCCGTCAAAAAAATATATTAATATGAAAAAAGAGTTGAGAGTTGCTACAGCTTTCCCATTGAAATGAAATTAATTTTAGATATCACTGATCAAAATTTGTACAAAGGTAAAAAGTGACTGCTACACTAATTTGTGACTGCTATCCCTACTTGTTATAGTTTTATATGTTTTTATTAATATATTAATATTATTTAATTCAATATTTTTTTTAATATCAAATAATATACCTAGCTATTTCTAATTCTTGTTATATTTATTATATTTGTATTTTATTTGAGTGATCTATTATTACGACACATAGGAATGCTAATTTTGGACTTAAATATTATATTTTATTTCGTTTCTGTACTTTTAATTTTTGTTGAAGATCTACCGAGAATTTTGTTCTCGTATGGAATTATAATCTAACCAACCCGGCAACCCTGTTCGGCTACTCCTTATAAAGTTTTTTTCGGCCTAATTCCTTTGTCACAGCCGCGGCTTTGTCAAGCGCCGCCGCCGACCGACTGTGTCGGGGCGACTGCTAGGAAGATCGTACAGTATTGCCATTTCATAGAATTGCACTTGCTATTTTAGAAATGATTTCAAAGTTTTGCATGTTACTTTTCGTTTTAGAAAGAAGTTATGTGCCTAGAGAAAACATTCTTAAAATTGTTTCGTACTTTATTTAATATTTCATTAAGTAGGCAAGATAATGGGATTAGAAGATTTAGGATTTTGACAAGCCAACATAATTTCAATTTAATTGAATGGCAACACTGTCCGTCCTGTTTCTATTTTTTCGGTTCTGTTCTATTAGTAGGCGGTTCTATTAGTTCTGTTCTATTAGTAACCCCACACAAGCGTCTTAAAGACCCGCCCGGCGCCCCCCCTCGCAGGGGCTCTATCGTCGTATCACTTCTATGATCACTTCCCCTATACAATGGTAGGGAAAAGACACTTTATCCGTCTCTGTTGCACTGCAGTGTATTTTGCAGCCTTACCATCTTTTTTTATCGCATTGAAAACCTCCTATTGCTAATATTCCTTTGCCAGCAGTGTATACTTACAATTCCAGGAAAGGGTGTACATCATACGTTCAGCTTCACGATTTAATTAGGTCTCATTATACTTTATTTATTTATTAATGAATCTTTGTAATTTTCCTTATAGCTTGTAAATTATTAAATGCGAGTTAGAAATTAAACAAAATGCCCAGAAGTTTTGGTAAAAATAAGTGAAATTGAGTTGGTGCTTGACAGTGGTCGCGCTATTAGAACTCTAAATTAAAAAATCTATCTAAAAATCCCGAAATCCATTAGAATTAATCAATTGAGGGTGTTTTAAAAAAATCCTAATGTTTCTGCTATATTTTCTTCACAAACAGTATGTGAAAATATTTACAAACAAAGATGTTACACGATTGCTCAAAATTGTCATGGACTAAAAGTTGGTGGACGCGTTTTTTTTTGAATGGAAAAAAACGAGCCTATCAATTTTTTCTCATTTAAACATCTTGGTGAAGAACCGAACTTCAAAATAAAAAAAAGAAAGTTTTAATATCTAAAATGGTTCTAGAGTTATCGCGTATTATGTGTTAAAAAGTTGAGTTTTCAAATTACCGCGATTATTGAATTTTTTTCATTATAAAAAATGGACACCCTAACGATATTCTTATAACTCGTTTTCAAATGCCCAGAAACATATCTATACTCTGTTTTTTTTCTCAGGTAAGATTTCGACACACGATGACAGAAGAAAAGCAGATGACGTCGCATACAATCTATTTATTTTACTAAAAAAAGTTTCTAATAATTTTTAAGTTAACGATGGATAGGTTTAAATATAAATTCGTCATGCGTCGTCACTTGTTGTTTTTAACCAGTTTTATTGGTTTATTTCAAAAATGACAGATCGTATTTCAATTTTATTGGTTTGACGGAACGATGAACGACAAACGGACGCCGATGCGTATGAACTCGCCTTTAGATTTTTGACGTTTGTCAAAGTCTTGCCAAATTATAGGTTATAATTTTGTGACAACTTTTGTCAAATACCCTGCGTTTTGGAAGATGATGCATTTTGATTCGTGTTATTACGTGTGTTTTGTGTCTTTTGAAGTCAAGTGGAGGAAAAATCGAGTGAAAATTAACTGTAGAACCCAGAGCACAGTTTATGGTTAATACTCGCTGCCCAGGCAGAAAGTCTTATACAGATACACCAATAAAGTTACTATCAATAAAGTTCGTATACCATCTCGTCGTAGATAAGTGCATCTCGAATATGGTAGAAGGACCATACTAAACACATACTAAAAACTGGAGTAGCTGTAAAATATCGACGTCACACGCTAGGTAAATAATGGATTTTAGTACTGCAGAAAAGTAATGTCAAAAGGTACTGGTTAAGATTAAAGTTAATTAATCAACCTGTGAGGTATAAAATTTGGTAAGTGTTATTATTAATAAAATAGTTTGTTTTATTTATGTTGTTTTATTTATTCCTGCGGAATATTACAAATTTGTATTTGTACATAAGTTATATTGATAAATATAATCATAAATGCGGGAAGTTTCATAAAGCTTGAAAGTAAGAAATAGTTCTTTTTTATATTTTTTGGTATGTGGTGTCTTGTTTTTGTTTGTTTTGTATTAACACATACCGTTTTTTATTAAATAAAAAAACTCGATTATATTTTTTCAGTTTTATACAGTTTTTTTCACAATATTTTGAAATTACTTGTCAGACAAATTTTAAATACATATATTAATTTCCTGCTATGCGTTCCAGTTGTACCTACTTATTTCTTTGTAAAATAAAATAAACTACTTTGAAATTAAAATGACAGACCCATCTATCACTGTCAAGGATCTTCTCGTTGGACAGACTATAATAATTTTATCTACTTATACTTCCGGAAAAAAAATTGTAGAAATAAGGCGTTTTTCGACCATGATTTTAATTTCCACTAGACAGGGAAAGGCGCACCTGTATCTCCGATAAATGTGGCATCGCCGCATCAAAGACCTCATCATTCCGACCCAAGATCAAAACTTGCCAACGCGGTATAATGGTGCATTATAATTGAAGGGTCCAGGGGAAAAACTTGATGAGCGCCAATTCCTTAATTATAAGATACCATATTATAGTAGGTCTAAAGCTTGATTTTCATGCATCCGTTATACGTTGATACGATGGTCCGACGGTGCTCTGATTGGTCATAGAGTTTTCGCGCCACTTTTCATCTGTAAATATTTTACTTCAGCCCGTCAACGGACCCGTTCATACGATAACGGACGTTTTGACACTTTTTTGACAAATTTAATCTAACCTTAATAAAAAATATAAGTAAAATAGCAAAATCGTTATGGAAACGAAAATTTAAAATAACACCAACGTATATCCGATAAACGGAGGCATGAAAATGCAATAAATTTTAAAAACTGCGATATTCTATTATTATACAGGGTGTCTCAGATTTTAATCGGGAAAATTTAATAGACGATAGAACAGGGTGTCAAAGTTACTCAAAAAAGAAAAAAAAATTAAGATATTTGAAAAACCATTTTATCGATTTTGATATAACTTGACCCGTTTATAATACTTACTATGGGACTTAATTTGAGGTAATTAGATTTAAGTTTAATGGCCAGGGGCGGCGGTGGGGCATCACTATTAAATTATATTAAAGGAAAAAATAGGCACGCCACTGCTTTTTTAGAAGTTTAATGTTATTTTTGGATTTAGTAATTAAAAATATTATTTTTTTGTCCTCAGACTTTTTTGTCTATCTTGCTTACTTCTTGCGAAAAAAATTAAATTCATTTATTCACTCCACCCTGGAGTGTTTTTTCGCAAGAAGTAAGCAAGATAGGCAAAAAAGGCAGGAGACAAAAAAAAATAATATTTTTAATTACTAAATTCAAAAATAATATTAAACTTCTAAAAAAGCAGTGGCGTGCCTATTTTTTCCTTTAAAATAATTTAACAGTGATGCTCCACCGCCGCCCCTGGCCATTAAACTAAAATCTAATTACCTCAAATTAAGTCCCATAGTAAGTATTATAAACGGGTCAAGTTATATCAAAATCGATTAAATAGTTTTTGAAATATCTTATTTTTTTTTCTTTTTTAAGTAACTTTAACACCCTGTATCTCGAAAAGGAAGCTTTAAATCTTACAAGTTGATATGAACTTTTTGTTTTATTTTTGCAAGTTCTATCGTCTATTAAATTTTCTCGATTAAAACCTGAGACACCCTGTATATTAATTCTACCAATAAAATTAATATCGTATCAACGTATCGTCGGACAACAGATGCATGAAAATCAAGCTTAACTGGTCCCTACAAAATGTATAAACTCTGCAGGGCAATAAGTTGTTAAATCTTATGATATATGCCTAGTAAAAATCTAGAATACACGGAAAGAACCTGATAACCAACAGCCATTGCCTGGAAACTTATATGGTGAAATTTTGATAAAACAATTTAGTACTCACTAAAAACACGGTATGTCGCTAGAGGTAGGAAAAATAATTTTTAGAGGTTACTAGTTTATTTGGTTGCCTGTGATATGCATATACAGGGTGTTTCCTAATTAATCTAAAAAAAATCGTTAGAAAACGGCTTAAGGCGGGCTCTTAATAAGTATATTTATTTTTTTCTCGGCAACTGTTTGATGAACAAGAAAAACTCAAAAGATCAATTTTGTTGAAAAAGAATGACCAGCCAAGTAAAAAATTTATTTTCTTTAAAAAATCAGTAGTGTACCATTTATGTTAAGCAAAATATCGATTTTTTTTTAATTTTTAACACCCTGTAGATTAGAAAGGAAGTACTTTAGACCCAATGGTTATATAAAAATTGTTTTAAGAACACATGAGGAATCACACCACAATTTTTTAGACTAATTAGAAAACACTCTGTATATCAACTTGACAATGATTGCTGATAAATCAAAAATACCTTTCTGTGAAAAAAGCCCGATTTTCGCAGGAAAAATTTTGGTTTTTATTGAATTTGGGCCTGCGTCTGCAAATACCCGGTATGTTTTTTAATATTCTATCTATCTAAATATTCTATCTATCTAAATTTTAAATATCATAGTCAGAAATAGTTTTATTATTTATTAACTGTAAAAATGGTATACTTATAAGTTTTATCAAATATTGTGATTTACTTTCTACCTTGTAGTCAAAATTTATTATTTAATAAACTGTAAAATATATATATTCTTATGTTTTATTAAAGTTACTCTGATATACTAATATATCAGTGTAACTTTAAAACTAAATCCTTTGAAATCAAATATAAACATAAAAAATATTTACAGCAGAAAAGGCGAAGGCGCTGGGTTAAACGTAGTCTCTACTAAGAACACGGAGGGGCGCTTTGACCCAAAATTTTACTATTAAGTTTCATATCTATCTTAATAGAAGATTATTTTCTTTTATCTATGCCACCAGCCGTCCTGTGATCTGTAAAATTAGTGAAATAGCGCTTCAATTATTATAGAGGAAATACCGTATGATCGAGAAAAAATGGCGTCAGCGTTGGCTATGAAATGAAGATCGCCGTCATTTTGTCATGTAAATTTATATGGGAAATGTCATCGATCGTCATTTCCCAGCCAACTTGACGCCGTTTTTTTTCGATCATACGGTACTATGTTAGTAAACTATACGGTACTATGTTAGTTACTAAAACGCGACAGAGATAAATATAAACGACCGGATTGACAGACAAAGAGACAAAATAAAAAGCGGCATACAGTATTGCCGGTTTTTTACGTGTGTAGGAAGAAGTGTGTAGAAAAAATAGGCTATTTTAAAAACTTTCATGTATACTACTGAAATGAAGATAATATAACGGAGCTAAATATAATCTATTACAGCTATAGTAAAATTGTGAAAAATAAAGTTCCAACCCTAGATTCAACATTTTTCATATACGCCTACTTCTTGTGCCGTTTGAAATTTTGATACAAAATCCGGCAATACCGCATAGAAGAAATGTATCAGCCCAACTTTTATCTCTTTTTAATACATTGATTTTCCATTAGGCTGTCTACATCACTGTCTTACACGTTAAAATCCAGACAATTGTGCTCATATATGTTCTTATAAGGTAACGTTCCCACAAATGATCCTGAAATTTCACGAATGTTCGCAAATATTCCCTTGTCACCAATATAAACGTTCTCTCTATTACAACACTAATCACGTGTGATATTAACGTTAGGAATGACGTTAAATTAAGTAGTGTTCACATACCTCTTCGTCAAATAACGCCCTGTCATATTCATTGGTGTGTTTAAGGGGCCAGTCTTTATAAAGCTTCAATCCACATACAGTGCCCGAAGGCAGTTTTATAGCAAATATTTGGTCTTTACTGTCGTCTCTGTCTTCTACAGGTTTTTCTACAAATAGCAAAAAAATATATAAAATTTAATGTCAATAAATTATAACGTAATATACCTTTGTACATTAGAGGACTTTTCTTCACATGTTCTGCCTAAAAAAATACGTATAAAATTAGTAGAAATTTTAAATAATATACAATTTATGTATATTTGATATCAATAATTAAACTTTTAGTTACGTAATCGAGGGCGCGATTTTTAAATTAATTTTTGCCAACCATGGGCATATATTCGGCGCCGGGCTGACTAACTGGAATTTAAATTTCGCGCTGCGGATTCAGGTGGTAGCTCTGCTGTAAAAAATGTCAAGTTGCCACATTTACTTATTTATTTCCTGACATTCTCATTCGTTTTGACACTTCGGTTTTGTATTACGAGTTTTTGGTTTAAATAAACAGTGTTGTGATCCTTTAAGCTTGAAAATGTTTACTAGCAGACCTTGCAGTCGAACATTGCTATTTTTAGAACCTCTTTTAGTGCGAAGTGGTACAAGATAGCTTAGTAACTGTAAAAAACTCATTGCAACTTTATTAGAATATTTTGAACGGGAAAGCAGTAGTAATGTCCCTTAAGTGCTGTTAAGAAGGTGAGTTTTGTTGATGTAAATAATAACTGTTTATATATTTATAATTAATTTATTTTTGTTCCCTAAAATATTTTGAATAAAAGAAAATATATAAAAATGTGCAACGCTGTGCCGGTCAAGCTTAATCACGTGACTAAAAGTTTATTTGGTATGAACTATACATATTAGTTTAATGTCGCAGTTATAAAAGTTTATTACTTTTAAAAAGGTTATTTTAAATTATATAAACCTTTTAATACTTACATATAATATAATATTTTTAAGCATCTGTTCAGTGGTAATATTTTCTCTTACAGGTGAATTATCATCATCTTCTTCCATTTCTTCTGATCTAAAAATGTTTAAAATCTATATTTAAAATGATTATTTTAGACATAATTACGTAAAAAATAAACTCAAACAATTATGTAAACTGTATGAATAAGTTGCACAAGCTTTTTACAAAACATCAAAAGCTTGTCGGCTCTTATCACTTACAATATTTTATTTAGGCCATTTCTATAAAACTGAAATTACACCTTTACATTTTAGTTTTCATGGAAAAGTGGCCAATAAATTATGGAGCTTTACCAAATAATATTATATTTTATATTTCTTTAAAAAAAAATGAATCCTCAAATTTTCTAAATGAAAGAGTATATACAGGGTGGCTCATCGAAAACGTTCCGCAAGGCATAACGGCCAGGATAATTTTTTTTTCAGAAAATCCAAAAACATGTCAATTTTGTTTGTGAGAGGGACAACTTTTGCCCCAAAAATTATTGCAAAATCTTCAACCCTCTAAGCGGTGGTGTCATCCCCCAATTTTTTTCAAATGGGAAGGGGGATCAAGTGGTACCGCAATGAAAAGGGCTTTCTATTCTCTATACTTTCCCGCTTCGTTTTTGAAAATCGGTCGAGTCATTGAGAAAATATGAAGGATTGAAATTTGAAAAGTTTATTTAAACAATTATCAGAGTAAATGATAAGGATAACTTCCTTCGACCAATTTGCTGTTTTTTCTTATTATTTCTAGATGTTTACGCATTTTTTCACTTGCCACAAGGTTGAACGATCAGGTGCGGTAGTTGCTAGATAGCGGTTCTGTGACTTTTGCGTTGAAGTTCTTTTGAACTTGCAGAAAAAGTGGAAATAATCGAACTTTATTTTAAAAATAAACTTTATTTTACTTTATTTTAAAACGCCTTTGTTGAGTTCTTGTACCAACTGAATTTTGTACGGGTGGAACTTGTGTTTTTTTAATATCCTTTGGTTAATATCCTCATTGGCTAATTTTCTTGTACTCAGCGTACTATCTATGGCAACTTGGCCCAATACGAATACCTCCATAGCTTCATTTACTACAGGATTTTTCCTCTGCCTCTTTTTATTCATAACTGAACCAGTTTCGCGAAATTTTGCTACTAACTCGCGAACAATTTTGCCATAAAGGTGTTTGTCAGGATGGCGTTCATTGAATATCTGCGCAAACCGATTGCCACATTCATTGTTTTTAAAATAAAGTTCGATTATTTCCACTTTTTCTGCAAGTGAGTACACCATAATTGTTAAAAAGTTTAACGATATTGAGAAGAACTTTAACGCACAAGTCAAGGAACAGCTATCTAGCAACGACCGCACCTGATCGTTCAACCTTGTGGCAAGTGAAAAAATGCGTAAACATCTAGAAATAATAAGAAAAAACAGCAATACTTTAAATACAAAAATTGTTCATTTTGTAATTCTCCATCTAATAAAAATATAATATACAGGGTGTTCCGTTTAAAAATACAAATAAAAATTATTTTATATCTTAGAAAGTTTGGCGTAGAATTTTAAACACACTGTATGATTTACGATTACGATATTTATAGCAAAGTAAGCACAGACCATCTAAAGTAAATATCTAATATAGCTTTGATTTCAAGACAGTTCTTGTTGAAAAATCTATATTTTTATTTATTTTTTAATATCTCTGAAACTATCGAAATATATTTACTCATATCTTAGGATTATGTAAAGTGATCTGACAGGAAGCCAAAAATGCAATAATATACAGGGGATTCCATTTAAAAAAAAATCATCCCAATACACTCACACTTTTTTGGGCCATCCTATAGAAGTTAAAATATTTTCCTGAAATACATGCTCGTATATATGTACTTTAGGTTTGCACCCTGTATTGTGTTTAATAAAATTTAACATAAATTATACTTACACTTTAGACTTATCTTCGCTAGTTGTTTCATTAATACCGCTATCGTTTATTTCAGTATGACTTTCAGAATCCCTTTTATTTTTTTGTACTTTAATTTTATTTAAATCATCTGAAATATCTGATGCATCGAGTGTATCCATATTTTCTATAAACAATTGTTTTGTTAGGTAAGTATGGAAGTAACCCTATATTTCAGTTATATAAACAGGGTGTTTCACAAAACCATGTGCCATCTCTCGTGGGAAGATTCTTCACGTAAAAATGTGATTTATTTTTTTATACCAATCTGGGTCCGATTCTGCTTGGTTCCGTAGCTACAGTGGGTTAAAATCTTCATTTTATTTCGATTTATTATAATTTTCTTCTAAGTGAATTTAATGACCAGAATGAAATTTTGAGTGTAAAATATGGGATATACACGGTGGTCCGAAATGTATTCCGGAAACTTCGGCAGCATATTCTGCAGATAAAAATATGTAAAAAAAATCGTGTAAATGTAATGTCCTAAAATGCTTAATTTTGGAGATACAGGGTGTAGAAATTTCATTTTTATTTCGATTTTTTTCAAATCGTTTATGAAATAACGTCAATATTTGGATGAAAATTGGTGTCTAGTTGTTTTTTGACGTGAGAAATTTGATTTTGATGTCAGTATTGACCTACTTGTAGAAGGCGCCACTTACATATTTTTAAACTGCTTTGAAGAGTAATAACTTTTCGTCCGTACTTGTATAAAACTACTGAGTAAAAAATATACATTTACGACGTTTTTTACGTAAAAAAGGTCTCTAGGTAAAAATCGCTACAAGTAATGGTTCTCGAGATATTTGGAATCGAAATTATCAATACCTGTCATCATTGACGTAAACATACATGTTGACTACATAGTTATTAGACTGAAATCATAAATTTGAAATGTTTTTGTGCCAAAAGTTCAATAAAAACTGTTTTGTCATAATTTTTTCGCAAAAAAAATTAATTTAAGAAAATAAAAATTTCGCAAATTTATTATTTTAGTCAAATAACTATCTACTCAATATGTAAATTTTTTCTCGATAATGACATGTACTGATTATTTCCATTCTAAATATCTTGAGCACGATTGCTCGTAGTGTAGCGATCTTTACCATTTTTTACGTAGAAGGTCACGGAGATGTATATTTTTTCCCTCAGTAGTTTTATACCGGTACAGAAGAAAAAACTGCCCCCTACAAATTTTAACATCAAAATCAAATTTCTCATGTCAATCAAAAAACTCCCAGAACACAAATTTCATCCAAATATTGACGTTACTTCAAAAATTATTTGAAAAAAATCGAAATAAAAATGAAACTTCTACACTACACCCTGTACCTCCGAAACTAAGCATTTTAGGACATACATTTATACAAACTTTTTTTACTTATTTTTATTTGCAGAATATGCTGCCGAAGTTTCCGGAATACAAAAAAAGTTCGGACCATAACTTTTTTATTTTTTCAGATAAAAAAAACGAGATTTGGTATGTTAGTATATGACATAAATTAGACGTTTTCAAATGTTTTCGGTCACTTCCTGTTTCACCGGAAATAACTACAACTTTTCTACAACTGATTTTTAAATGGCACATTCGGTATTTTTTTACTTTATTCGATAGAAAATGGCGCTCTAAATAGAATGACATATCATATGTCAACTTTTGATATTCTCGCTTAAAAAAATCTTATTTTGAATTTCAATCTAGAGTGCTATGGCAGTGTTAAAAACACTAATTTTTAATCAAGGTGCCTTAGAAAAATAGAGTTGATCGTCTGTTTTTCGTGTCTTGTCATATCTTAATAATTTTTCAATTTTTAGCCGACCATACCAATAGGTATGGTAGGCTATTAAGATAGACAAAAATCAATCATAAATGACCTAAATACAAAATTTTTGCATGGTGTCTGTCTATCTGTCCGTCTGTAACACAATAACTCAAAAACCGCTAAACCGATTTTAACCAAATTTGGCACAAAAATACTGTGGCACCCGAGAATCTGGCCATTAGTTTTTGGTGGGAGTGGGGGGTTGGTAAGGGGGTATGAGAGGGGGTTAAAAATTTTTAAAAATCGTAACTCCAAAATTACAGTAGCTAGCGAAACGCGGTTTTCAATTTAAGATTAGGAATAATATTTGCAACACAGTTTGTAATAACATCAAAATCAGTCAAAGTCGCAGTTTTTGAGATAAAAAAAATGGAAAAATTCATTTACTTTGAAACTAAAAGAACTGCCTACCAACTTTTTATTAACATTTTTTAGTATGGGCGGCTATACGTGCCTCCCGGCGCCAATTTTTTCAAATGGAACGAGGGTGGCTCATTGGCATATTTGGAAAAAGCATTTTTTTACGAATAATTTGGTACCACACACTTGGTATTTCGAGTCAAATTGTCGTTATGAACCGCATGTTACAATTTCAAAATATGTTGCACTTAAAGTACTTTTACCCTCAAAATTTCACTCAAACAGCTAAAAGCACATGGAAAAAAATTATAATAAATCGTACAAGAAATGAAGATTTTAACCCCCTGTAGCTACGAAATAAAGCAGAATTGAAGCTATATTGATATAAATATAAGTATTTTTTTAGGCGAGGAATTTCCCCACTAGAGATCCCACATTTTTTTGAAACACCCTGTATAAAATTTTGAAATACTAAATTTACATAAAAAATATGCATACCGCCCTCAGGTATTACAGATTTTCTTCTAGATTTTTTCACAGCTAGCATATCTAATGGATTTTCATCAATTCCTGAAAAAAAATGTTATTTATAAATAAAATTATTGTATAAAATATAGAGTATATTAAAATCTACCTAATTCTATCATTATTTTTATTTCAATGTTAGCAAAAAAATTAATAATAAATATTTAAAACTGCCTATTTAATTACTTAGGTAAAGTAAAATTAAGCAAGTAGTATAAACTAAATATAACAAAGGAATCATTCCTTTATTATTACATATTTTTTGTTGACGATTGATATCTGTATGTGCTATTTTAAGAAGCAAAAATTGTTTATTCTAAAATATTTGTATACTTAGTTTTACTAGTTTTTTTAATATCAAAAAAATGTGCTAAAAATAGACAAATCATAATAGATTTATGAAGTTAGTCTCTTCTAACATAATTGAAGACAAAATTAAAATATAGTAAATCCACAGTATAAAAGTATTTGATGGGTAAAATAATTAGCTGAAATATACATAATTTAAATTGGTAATGTTATTATTACAAATAATACCGTATGATCGAAAAAAAAACGGCGTCCAGTTGGCTGGGAAATGAACATCGATGACATTTCCTATATAAATTTACATATAAAATGACAGCGATCTTCATTCCATAGCCATCGCTGACGCCGTTTTTTCTCGATCCTACGGTATAAGTTCAATATAAAATGACAGTAAAGTAAAAATTACCTTTTAAATCTGATGCTATGCTTTTTCTTCTCGATTTTGGTCCTCTATTTTTTACTGGTGATTCATTATCTTCATTTGATGTGCTAGTTTTTCTTTTTACTCCCTTTTTTTCTGCAACGCTAGTTTCCAATACACTTTCTGACTAAAATATACAATGTTTATAAAAACAATTTGAAGGAAAAACATTATTATAAATGGTTTACCTCATTGCTGTTGGAATAATCGTTAGAATAATCATTCCCATCTCCGCCAGCTTTTTCAATAGCTGCTTCAATTTCTTTAACTGCCTCATTGTAGCCCACCCTTTTACTATATTTGTTAACAAAACTGTCTTTATTTTTCAAATAATAGCATATATCTTCTACTTTAATCACACCACTACATAAGTAAATTAATGTTAGATAAGCGCAGAAATAATTTTACTTCATACTTACACTTCTTTAGTTCCATAAAAAATAACACTATACTTCTTCTTGCCAGTGTCGCTCTCAATCTAAAATAATTGTTACACGGTAATATAAAATAGGTATAATCTAGAATTAGATAAGTGGTCTTTATGGAAACTTTATTTGCTTTAATGATTGTACCTATGCAACCTTTCATGTAATTGCATAAAATAGTAAATAGAATAGGTACACAAACCAATTATAATATACAGATCACTTGATATTTATCAAGAGACCGTACTTTCAACTCATTGTTAGAAATTACAAATACACAATTTCTTACTCGTGCAGGCCATGGTGGATATCCTTTGACTTTGGCAAACACTTTATCACCAATATTATACACAACCTTAGGCATATCTATAAAAAGGGTACAGTACTACTGAAATAAATATAACAATTTCTAAGAACAAATTCAGATTAAAACAAACCAGTTATTGAGAAATACTACTCGAGAAACAAATAGTAAACAAACGTTTTAAAACAACGCTTTGATCGGCCGATTGAAATTTTAAACTGTCAAATAAAGATGTTAGTTTCCAGGAGTACCAAACTAAAATTCCAATTTTATCTCATGCTACTTTTGTGATATCTCATGTAAAATGAGATATAAAGAAAACTCCACAAACGATTGGCTGAAAAGCTGTCACATGGTGGTCACGCTAATACATTTGGGCGAATCAGAAGCCACTATTTATTAAAGTTGGATCTGTGAGTTGGATTCCCTCCGCACGTGGTCGTGAGCTTGGTCGTTTCTTTATATCTATGGTCGCTGTTTTGGTGTTTTGACAAGTTAACCTCTATTTTACATGTGGAAGTGTGAATTTGAAGCATAAAGTTATTGAAAATATAATTTAAAATGGTTCGCAAGAAAATAGATAACAGGATTAGGACATTAATTGAAAATGGAGCCAAGTTAGGACACAGAACTTTATTTGTGATTGTAGGAGATAAAGGCAGGGATCAGGTACTGTTTACAAAATCGGCAAAAATGTTGCGGTACACTAGTTATAAGTTTTGTTAATTTAATTGTATTGTTTCTCCTAAGGTTGTTATTTTACATCATATGTTATCTAAAGCTGAAGTTAAAGCGAGACCTTCAGTGCTATGGTGTTACAAGAAAGAGCTTGGTTTTAGTAGTCATAGGAAGAAACGCATGAAACATTTACAGCATAAAATACAAGCTGGCAAACTCAGTATAAATGAAGTAAGACAATAATTCACATTTTTACTCTATACAAATGTAAATTTCAATTTTCCAAATTTTTAGGATGATCCATTTGAACTGTTTTTATCATCAACCAAAATACGGTATTGTTATTATTCGGAAACCCATAAAATATTGGGTAACACTTATGGCATGTGCGTACTACAAGATTTTGAAGCTTTGACTCCAAATTTACTTGCTAGAACTATTGAGACTGTTGAAGGAGGCGGTTTAGTAGTATTGTTACTAAGGTATGAAAATATACTATAATTTTATATCGTCATTATTAAAATATATGTATTAATTTTATTTACAGAAGTGTGAATTCATTAAAACAACTTTATACAATGAGTATGGATGTTCATCAAAGATTTAGAACCGAAGCACATCAAGACGTTGTTTGTAGATTTAATGAGAGATTTTTATTATCCCTTGCATCCTGTAAAAGGTATGGGATGGTTTTATATTTTGTAAATTTAAACTCATGGATTTTTTTGTTATACAGGTGTCTTGTAGTAGATGATCAGCTTAGAGTACTACCTATATCTTCACATAATCTACATGTAAAGGTAGTGGAGGTTTCTCAAGAACCTGCAGAAAGTGAATCTGAATTAGCCGATTTAAAACAGCAATTAAGAGATACTCAACCTGTTGGTAATTTGGTTAATTGTTGTAGAACTTTAGATCAAGGGAAGGCATTATTGAAGTTTATTGAAGCTATTTCAGAGAAAACACTCAGGTATATTTGCAACTATTAACTGACGCCCATTTAAATAATTGTATTTCTTCTATTACTAGATCTACTGTGTCATTAACTGCTTCGAGAGGAAGGGGTAAATCTGCAGCACTGGGTTTAGCTGTTTCTGCGGCAGTTGCTTTTGGTTATTCGAATATATTTGTGACAAGTCCAAGTCCGGAAAATTTGAATACTTTTTTCGAATTTGTTTTTAAAGTAAGCTCAATTAGTGTCACTCACTCAAAAAGTCTCATCAAATGAACATTATTAATTTGTATACCGGGTGCGTCTCAAAAGTGGCTCACCCCTATAACTTTCTTATTTTTTCATATAAAAAAACGAGATTTAGTATGTTAGTTATATGGCATAAATTACGATTGATTTGACATATTCAATTGTTTTCGGGCATTTCCTGTTTCACCGGAAATGACTACAACTTTTGATTTTTAAATGGCACCATAGGTATTTTTTTACTTTATTCGATAGAAAATGACACTCTGAATCGAATGACATATCATATGTTAACTTTTGACATATTCGCTTAAAAACAAATTATATTTTAAATTTTAATCTAGAGTGCCATGGCTGTGTTAAAAATGTTAATAATAAGCAATATTAATAATAAATTAAGCAAGGAGCCTTGGAAAAATATATTTGATCGTTTAATGTTTTTAGTGTCTTGTCCTGGCTGATTAAAAGATGCTCAAATCGTATTTTTAATCATATCTCAATTTTTTCAAATGGAACGAGGGTGGCTCATTAGCATATTTGGATAAAGCATTTTTTTACGAATAATTTGATACCACACACTTGGTATTTCGAGTCAAATTGTCGTTATGAACCGCATGTTACAATTTCAAATACATACATACATATAGCCCTTACTCGCTAACGAGTATTCGACACACATAAAGAAGATGGTCACGCAAGGCGTTTTCCTTCATTAGCTTTTCTGTGACTGAAAAGCCCTATACGTGATGTTATTTGCCTACCGCACTCCGGGCATTCAAAAATCTCATTGCTTTGTTGCCTCTTTACTTTTTGGTTGTCGCTGTTAACTGAGTTTACAACTCTTCTCCATTGAGTTCTATTGTGAGTTGCTGTTTCCGACTCATCCTGCACGTTAATCCCCTTTAAGTTTTCGTGGAAAATGTCCTTGTACCTTTTCAGTTGTCCACCCGGCCTCCTCTTACCGTCTACAAGCTCACCGTAAAGCAGAGATTTTGGTATGCGGTTTTCTTGCATTCTGCGTACGTGACCAGCCCATCTTAAGCGGGATTTTGTAACCATGATTCCAATACGCTCGCAGTTAGCTTTTTCAAGGACCAATACGTTTGAGACATGATGGAACCACCGGATTCTTAAGAGTAGTCTAAGGTGTCTCTCTTGCAACTTGTTTAATGCGTTTATGTGTCGGCGGTACGGCACCCACAATTTCAAATAAACCATATGCGGAAATGTCAAAAGTTGACATATGTACATGGTTTGGTTTGGATTATTCACAGTGTCATTTTCTATCGAATAAAGTAAAAAATTAATTTGTCAATAATTTGTTCCAATAAAACCATCAAATTTGCTGTAATACATCAAAATATATATATATGTATTATATTTTTTTAATATTCTTATGAAAATTAAAAAAAAAACTATTGTGATGTGGGCAGTCTTAATATTAATGTTAAGGGGCACAAATTTTAAGTGGTATCTTTTTATTAGTGTTTTACACGTTAAAATCCAGACCAAGCAGTTTCAATAACTATCAGATGGGTGTACAAGTTATTTATCAAAACATAAAGCTGTGTATAACATTCATTTATGACTGAAATTCAGAGTGTTTCGTTTCAGATAATGGACATTTAAAAATATTTCCTTAAAAAATATAGAATATTGTTTTACAATTTTGGAACAGCAAATGTTAGTTCAGTTAAATGTGTAGAAAATTAAAATTGTCATATCTATTTCCAAAACCATTATTTCAATTTTGAGATTATTGTATTTTTTAAGTTAAATATCATGGCAAATTCATTGAGCAAAAAAATGCCGCATTACATTTAAAAGTGCGCTACGCTATCATTGGTCGTATTTTTTGTAAAAAATATTGAAGTGAAAATGTCACATAGAAAACACAATTTTCCAATTGACTTGAAATTTCGCATTTTTTATTTGATGAGTACTTTAATTCAACATTATTACAAAATAGTTTAAAACAAAGAGCCATTTTTAGGGGTTTGACGCATTAGAATACCAAGAACACATCGATTATGGATTGGTACAAAGTACAAATCCAGAATTTAATAAAGCCATAGTGAGAGTCAATATATTCAGGGATCATAGGCAAACTATCCAAGTAGGATTTTTGTATAAAAATATATTTTATAGTATTACATTTCAATATTTATTTTTTTAGTATATCCATCCTACAGATGCGCATAAGCTTTCTCAAGCCGAACTGGTAGTTATAGATGAGGCAGCTGCTATACCGTTGCCTTTTGTAAAAGCAATGTTTGGTCCATATTTGGTGTTTTTAGCATCAACTATAAATGGTTATGAAGGAACAGGTATTCACGTGTATTACCATTAAATTGGTTTTTATTAACGAAAATATTTCCGTTATTTTAGGAAGGTCTTTATCATTAAAATTATTGCAACAACTCAGAATTCAAACTGTGCCTGCTGGAGCTAACACAAACGTTGTAAATAAGAAGGACGCAGCTGCTGCAACAGGAAGAACTTTACACGAGGTTTGAACAGTATTTATTAACGTAATATGCTTTATTTATTTATATTTTTTGATGTTTTAGATCACTTTAGATGAACCCATACGTTATAAACCAGGCGATGAAGTAGAAACGTGGTTAACAAAACTTCTATGTTTGGACTCTACCTCTGTAGCTCCTATGATGTCAGGTAATTACTTCATCAGTTTAGTATATTTTTGTTTTTTAACATTTTATATTGTGGGCGGTAACTGCAAAAGCAGCTGAATATTTCGCCAGTAAAGTAGAAAAATAATCATATTTTTTTTGTAAAACGTCATTGAGTTTAGAATCCAATGGAAAGTAACTTCTTGGAAAACTCGTATTTTTAAATACGATACATTACATACGTGTAGTAAACCGATCATTTATGAAATCCACTTAAATTAACTAAATTATATATTTTTCTTGCATTTTAGCTTTTATTTACTCCTTGTCAAAGATCAGATGTCAAAGAATTTAGATACGTTAATTTGACTTACTTGCTTCAGTAGCGTATCGGATGTTTGTGTTAATAAATACTTATTATAACTTATCTATTTTTATTAGAATTATATATTTTTATAACAATTTTAATAACTACCAACATTTATTCACAACGTAAAATAAAACAACAAATTATTGAGTCTACCCCACGTCTACCCTACATCATAGTTTTACATTTTTTAAATAAAATTAGAACGGCACTGATAAACCGGAATTTAAGTCGGCCATATTTGAGGCCCATCGCGGTGGACCTAAGATTTTTGATATGCTCCTTCCTTAGTCTTCTTATTCAAAGGTTTTTCCCATCACTAGTTAAAAACAGCAACGGCCCAGCTACGTCGAAACACCGGTTCCCATTAGAACACCGAAGTTAAGTGACGTAAGGTGATACTAGTGGATGGAAGGGTGACCGGTTCGAAACTCTCTATCGTGCTGTTGTCCAAAAAAAAGGCAAAAGTGTAAAATCTATTGACACACACTGCTCATTCACGCCGGTTCGAGGCCGGATGAGATCGGATATCTCGTGAGTAAGAGTCGATTTAGACACTTGCCAAGTCGGTAGGCCATTGACCATGATATTGCCGAGGAGCGCGGTTCGGATTCCGCGTAAACAAAAGTAGGCCCCGTCCAGATTAGCCCTGGCAGCAAAAAGGAGACGTTAACTGAAATCTTTACTTTACTTTACTAGTTAAAAACAGCAAGAGACAACGCATGGCATATTTATGTACAAACCAATCTATAGTTAACTTAAAAAATATTAGAAACTTATTTTAGTGGAATAAATGGGCTGGCCATCGTCTGTCGAAATATTCCCTGAGTCGTAAAACAGAGTATATCCTCACTTTGGATATACTATATTATACAGGGTGCTACAAATTCGAGGTACGAGCATTGGTATCTCGGTAACCGTAATAGATACGAACATAGTTAAATTGGGACAAAGTTGCGTATTGAGATGTTCACCAAGATGCCATCAAAAAAGTTTTAAAAACTTCAAGGATTGCTGAGTTTTTTTGGAAAAAACGGATTTTTTTGAAAATCGATTTTATTTTTTCCTGTCGGTAGTTTTTAGAAAATCAAAAAACTAATTGCACATTCTCTTAGCCACTTTATTAGGGCTATCTGATAGTATTTTTAAATTTTCAAATTAACTGATAATTTGTAATATACAGAGAGGCCAATTTGATTTTTTTAAATACGGACCTTTATTTTTTATTTCAGATTTTGAAAGAACTCGGTCTCCTGAGTACAATGATATGCCACACTTTATACTTTTTTTTTAATTATTTACAATAATTTCAAGTCCGACTCTGGTTTCTTAAATTATTTGATCTGATTATATTCACCGCAATAATATTGATCAGCGCTAATTAACATTGAATAAGGAAAATCGAGCCAATTGGAAGGTTCAAATAAATAATAGCCGGGTCAGAAATTAAAAGATATTATTTTTAACTTATATATTGTGAATTTGAAATCTCAGTGTGCGATCTAATAATATGCATAATATTAATCGTAGTTATTATAAATAAATGAACTTCTACACACTAGTTTCTAATGTTCTACTTGTTCGAAAGGGTTACCACCCTCCCTGTTGCACAAATTTATTTTTTGTTCAGTTTTATTTATAGTTCTTTGAACTTTCTTCTTATAATTCAAAATACATTTTGTATTCTTTATTGTAAATGTTGAGATGAATTGATTTCACTTTTACAAATGACGTCAAGTAATGTAGCCCCTTGGCGATAGGTCCAGAAACCTCGCTGGACATTATACTGCTCTACCATTTCCAATTCATCTTCCGGGAAAATGATTTGATTGTTTATATTGTATTACCTATATTTATATTAATTATTTTATATTATTTTATTACATTTGATTTTCCGTATTCAATGTTTTACTCCACGTCATTGTTAAGTTTGAATGCTTATCAATATTATAACGATGAATAGATTAAATATTTAAAAAAAACAGAGCCGGACTTGAAATTAGTTTAAATAAATTGTGTTCAAATATCAAAACAAAAAAAAATATTAAGTGTAACATATCATTGTACTCAGAAGACCGAGTTCTTTCAAAATCTGAAATAAAAAATGCAGGTCCGTATTTAAAAAAAATTAGTTGGCCTCACAAAGGGTTATTTACGTTATCCTACGCTTGTAGCTAAATGATTAGATTTTATCCTTGTATATGAATTTTTAAAGTAGCTCAACCTAAGACGTTTATGGATGTAAAGCACCAGATGGCGGGGCGTATTTCACAGTCTTTTACTAGAGAAAAATATTTTTTGTTACTCTGAATTTTGAAGCGGCCAATAAAAACAGAGATATGCTATAAAAGCTGGTAATTATACAATTCGACCATTGTAAATACCCGACAAATTCCGCAAGGCCGACGAGGTCGATGTTTTTCACTGATAAGAAAAAAAAATGTTTGTTTAGATAATTTTCGAGATATTTTTTCTTTCTGAATGCACATTTTAAAGTATTTTATATTCTTTGTCCGCTTGATCTATTATACTGGTCGCACGTATCGAAGTTTTATTTCTTGTAGTTTTAAAATATTTTCTTGTTTCTTTGTAGTTGTAATGTAAAATTAGATTAATTTATTAAGTTTGATTATAATATTTAGTGTAGACTACCAGAAGTAATAATAAACAAGTTGTAATGTAAAATTAGATTAATTTATTAAGTTTGATTATAATGTTTAGTGTAGACTACCAGAAGAAATTTAGTAGTGTTTTTATATTTTATTTTGAAGTTAAGTAGTAGGTGAAGGGGTAATTTGGTTAATTTTTCTTTATGTTTGATTAATTAATAAGTTTGATAATTTGTTTAGTGTAGAATACAAGAAGTAGTTTGTGTAGTGTTCTTGTAAGAGATTATATTCATTTATTTTGTAGTTGAGTAGAAGGTGAAGGTATTTGGGTATTTTTTTCTTTTTGTTTTTCTTCTAATAATTATTGTAGTAGTTCTTTTAAATATTGTGATAGATACATTATAATCTTCCTTCTACTTTTCTGGTAGTTGAATATACGAAAAAAATCTGATCAAATTTATTTTAAATGAAATTAATCTAGTCTTATTAATTAATCAAATTAAACTAGTCAAATAATATTAATTGCAATCAATTATTAAAAAATATTAATTATTTTGGAAAATAACTTTTGAAATGGAGTATTATTGATAAAATTTAGCCAATTTTTTTTACCCAGTAGCGTATTTCAATATGATCTTATCATTTATCACTGTATAATAACTTTGTTGTGGCAGAAAAATATACCAGTTAGTTTCAAAATATTATTTTTTTTTCAAACGTCACAAAAGTATTAATTTTTGCGACGTGATTGACAATATAAAAAAGTCATTTTAACGCCTAGGCATAAAAGTAAAGCACTTTACGCCTAAGCATAAAAGTATGAAAATATATTATTAAAATGACATAAGTCTCAAATTCAACGAGCCGTAACCATAGTTTCTCGATATATAATTACTCATGGTACAAAGAAAACTTGAAAACAAGGTATGGTCGATAGCGTCTCCAATTTCGTTCAGTTTGCGCATATCGCCTGTGACGTCATATGCCATACAACAAAATATCCGTATTGTTCAATTGCCACTAATAAAAAAAGACCTAAAATAGGGAAGAATTAAATAACCCCTAAAGTTATGTAAAATCATCGAGCTGGACATTTGAAAAGTTATGACACATTATACACATTTATTATGTGTCATCTGTTTGAAAATTTGAAATTGGCGCGTGGAGCTTGCCGACCAATATTGCCGTTTATCACCTGTGACGTGGTGACCAACCTGCGCAATATCATACCTTGTTTTTTTTGTATCATGAAATTACTTACAAGGTATGAGTTTTAAATATTTTTATATTATTTGGAACGTTTGAAATTGTTTAAAACATTATTTGTGGCGTTTGAAAAAAATAGCATGTTTTATTCGGAGTAAAAATGACTTTTGTGCTTCGGCTGTATGTCAAACCTACAGTCTCGCCACGAAAAGTGTCATTTTTACTCCTAATAAAACAATATACTAGAAAATTTTATGGTTTAACGGGCTTTGTGAGTTAAAACATAATGATATTTTCAGTTTTTATAATTCTTGATCGAAAATAAACGGCGTCAGCGATGGCTATGAAATGAAGATCGCTGTTATTTTATATGTAAATTTATGTGGGAAATGTCGTCGATCGTCATTTCCCTGCCAACTGGACGCCGTTTTTTTTTCATATGGTACAAAGTTAAAGCAAACTTGGCTCTGACCATGTTTTACGCTAAGAAAGATTTCGTGTAATAAAGATTTTAAATGGTGTATTAAGTACATAATATTTATTTAAATGTCAAATAATATTATTGAAACAAGTGCCAAGTTTTATTTTTAATTAAGAAAAAAATTGTATAAACGTTTTGTTTTCAAAAAAAAATTTATCTTAAATTCGTAAAACCTCAATTTAGAATAAAATGATCGAAGAATGAAATAACATTTTATAGCCCTGGGTCAAATCGAAATAAAGTAAGTGTATGTAACTTTTTTTAAATATATTAATAATTACCAGTAATTAGCATTAATGTACCAACATATTGAAAATTGTTATTTCTTTGTTAAATACGGTTTAGAATCCTTAAAATAACAGCAAAAATATTCGAAAGTCAACAATAAAATAATAGTTTTGTTTAAATTTCTTAATCAGCTGAGCCCTATTATAGTTCGCAAACATCCGAGCTATATTATTACATTACTCTGAGGGAAATACCGCAAATAATCGATATTTTTGACTCCGCCCCTAATCACATGCTTCGTTCCTTTAAAGCTTTACGATTTGTTCCCCAGAGGCAGCACATTTTGTCGAGAGGTTGACCAACTTTAAGAATATATAAACAAGGATTTTATATAGTAATAGTGTTGGTGGATTACTAGAGTTATAATTTAAAATTATTTTCATATAGTATAGATAGGTACAAAGTGTCCCAAATATACATATAAAAATATTAAGTTGCATTTTTTAAATGGAACATCCCCATAAATTATTACATTTTTTGTTTCCAAGACTGAAATAAATATAACTTTTTGATTATATCTTACTATACACATAACGGTAATAACATGTTTAATGATCCTTATTTTTTAATTAGGCTGCCCACCACCTGAAAGTTGTGACCTGTACTACATTAACAGGGATACGTTATTTTGTTATCACAAAGCATCAGAAGAGTTTTTACAAAGACTTGTAGCTCTATATGTAGCTTCTCACTACAAGGTAAGCAATATGCCATGTTTTATGATTTTTTTGAGACCATATCAATTCCAGAATAGTCCAAATGATCTTCAAATGATGTCTGATGCTCCGGCCCATCATTTGTTCTGTCTGTTGGGCCCAGTCAATCCAAATAAGAAAACTTTACCAGAAGTGCTAGTATTCTTACAGGTCCGTTTTTTAAACATTTTTTGATAAAATTACTTAAAACTGTATTAAAATACTCTTTTAGATATGTTTGGAAGGAGAAATATCAAAAAACACGATTACCGATGGGTTTTCCAGAGGTAAAAAGGCATCGGGAGATTTAATTCCTTGGACCATTGGACAGCAATATCAGGACACTGATTTTCCTAAGCTGGCTGGAGCTAGGATTGTGAGAATAGCTACTCATCCAGATTATCAAGGAGTAAGTTAAATTACTACATTATTTTAAATTGAATTATCTTATAAATACTGTAATTTTTTTGAGAAATTTTTGGTGTAAAATTTTCAAACTAATTTTCAATCATTTTTAGATGGGGTATGGAGCCAGAGCTCTAGAATTGTTAAAGCAATATTATGAAATGAAAATTCCTAGTTTAGATGACGATCATATTTCTACAGTTCGGGAAAGCTTGGAAAACGTCGATGATGAGTCAGTAGGGTAAGTTTCTTAGTTTCTCAAATATAGTTAATTAACTATGCAAATGTTATTCTAAATAATCTATACCGGGTGCGTCTCGAAAGTGGCTCACCCCTATAACTTTTTTATTTTTAGGGTTCCGTACCCAAAGGGTAAAAACGGGAACCCTATTACTAAGACTTCGCTGTCCGTCTGTCACAAAGGTCTATCTTATGAACCGTTATAGCTAGACAGTTGAAATTTTTACAGATAATGTATCTATGTTGCCGCTATAAGAACAAATATTAAAAACAGAATTAAATAAATAAAAAAGTACTTTCGCTAAACATTATCTTTTAAGTAAGAATTTTACATAGAATCTTTCAAGTCCTCGGTGGCCGCGTGGTTAAAGCGTTAGGACTTTACGCTGCTATGACGTTGGAGCCGTAGTAAGGCAGGTTCGAATCCTAGTCAAGGCGACTTTTTTAATCGTTTTTTTTTAATTTTTACATATTTTTACATATTTATTTTTACTTTTTACATATTTATTATTGATTAATACAATTTTTAGTAATGTGTTTCTTCATTTTTTTTAAATTACTTATACGCGCATTCAAAATTTCAGCTAAATCGGAAAAAAAGTTTATAATAATATAGTGTCTAATGTTGTATAGATAATGAATGGTAAGTCGCACTTGACATTTTTTTTAGATAAAAAAACAGATTTGGTATGTTAAGATTATATAGTATAGCAAATCTCATTTTTTTTCAAAAACAAAAAAGTTATAGGGGTGAGCCACTTTTGAGACGCACCCGGTATACATTTTTTATGTATACTGTCGTGTTAAAGAAAAACGTTATTACTACAATTGTGTTCCAAAATTCGTCAACAAGTGTTCCAAAATTCGTCAAATTTTACATAGAATTTTAATTTCATAGAAAAATAGAGAAATCTGTTAAAAAAAGTTTTTTTCAAATTTCGTTATTCCAGTAGTCATATTTTCTGTCAGAATGATTTGTAAGCGAAATTACTGATTGCGAAGCATAGGTTCATAAAGGCTCTGATCTGGTCTAGATATTATTATCTAGAACGATAACATATAAAACGCCGACTCAGTCAAACACTGCCTATGTAAACTCTGTTCATTGAGAGAAGTGACTATATTCAAAAACAGAAATAAAAAATTACTGTTGAAATGGCAGATCAATGGCCGACACTGTCATTCTCTCGTTGAACAGACTATATTAATAATTTTATTCTTTGGGGTGTGTCTCAAAATTGTATAAAAAGAATCTGGAACTATAATGAACCGTATTTTTTTAGTTTGTTGGAAGAAGCCATTGAACCAAGGAAAACCCTACCGCCTCTCTTGTTAAAGCTTAATGAAAGACCACCAGAGAAATTGGATTACCTTGGCGTGTCTTTTGGACTAACTGAACAGTTACTTAAGTTTTGGAAGAAGTAATTTATATCTCTTATTCACAATTTAAGGATGCTAATAAATATTAAACTTCTAGGGCAAAATTTGTACCTGTTTATTTAAGACAGACCACAAACGATTTAACCGGTGAACATTCTTGTATTATGTTGGACGTTTTAAATGCTGACGAAAGACAAGATAGTTCGACGTGGCTCAGTGCTTATTGGACAGATTTTCGAAGGAGATTTATCAACTTGTTGGCGTATCAGTTTAGTAAATTTTCGCCAAGTTTAGCTTTGGGAGTTCTGACAAATAAAACAGTAAAACTACACACTACAGGTATGTTAGACATTGTCATAGTTATTATATTTTGATTTTAAATAGTTTTAACAGTGTTGATAGCAGAACTCATATCTAAGATATTATTAGTAGGTTTTAAAAAATATTAATATTTTTTTAGATTTGACCAGGCAAGAACTAGATATGTATATAACGAGGTATGACATTAAAAGGCTGGAGATGTACAGTAAAAACTTGGTGGACTATCATTTAATAATGGATCTTTTACCTACGTTAGCTAGGTTATTTTTCCTGAACCAAATGGGTGATGTGCAAATGTCGGCAGTTCAGTCAGTAAGTGTTTTTTAAACTGTTCTTTTAAATACGAGTTTGAATTGTCATAATGTTAGAAGTTTTTGAAAGTTTGAAAACAAATAGGTAATCTGTCCTGATAAGATAATTAATATTTAGTTCGATTATTAGATAATAAAACTTAGTTCTTGTCACTTTTGGGATTAAGCCCACGGCCACACAGAAAGCGTTTTTTGCGTGTCAAGCGGTTTTTGCGATTTTACCGTTTGAAGCGTTTTTTTCGATTTATGTCCATTAAAAACACGCAAAAGAAGCGGCAGGTCTGCAGTATCTATCAAGAAGTCAATTAGTAACGTCGCAAGCTCGTGGACGAAAAAAAATATATGCCCGGATTGAATCGTGGACGGGCCGGGGCATATATTCGGCGACAAACACAATCTACTGCTAATGCCAGTGGTGTGTGTAAAAATAATAATTGTTATTTGCCATTTATTTTACGAATTTTAGTTTATTTGGTAATTTTTTTATGTTGTAGTTTTGTGGTTACTTGTTATAATTATAATATAATAATATAATATAATAAATAATTATAATTATATAATAGAATAGTAAATATTACTAGTTGCTAACGCAATTTTAAGACATGATTTATGAAATTTTTTGAACTACTTTACGCGCACTGGCCGTGACACGAGCCAGCGAGACGGCTCTGACACACGAGCTAGTTGTAACGAAACGTGTTAACGGCTTATAAATACGTAGTGACGCGACGTGTATTTGTGAGCAGTCCACGTATTTATTAAAAATACTGATATTTTAATACAAATTTTGTAAAAGTGAATCAAATTATTACGTGTAAAAAACCATGCATTACACGTAAAAAACTATTTTTTACGCGTGTAAAACTATTTGTTACTGGTAGAAAACTGTTTTTTACGCGTATAAAACTTCTTGTTACTCGTAGAAAACCATTTTTTACACACAAAAAGCTATTTTTTACCTGTAAAAATCTATTTGTTACAAGTAAAAGACGATTCACGCTGAAAACGCAAAAAACGCTTTCTGTGTGGCCGTGGGTTAACTTAACACTAAGAACTTTTTATCACCATCTAAAACAATACTTCGTTTAGTACATTTAACTATTTTTTTAGGTAATTATGTTAGGGTTAGGACTCCAACATAAAACTGTAGATGCTTTGGCAGCTGAATTGGACTTGCCCTCATCACAGCTTTTGGGTTTATTTAACAGAATGATGCGAAGGTAATGAATTGCATTACTTTAGAAATATATTTTATTTTTTTCCATACGAACTGTTAAAATTGCCTTATGCCTAAATAGTACTTTAACCGCAAGGGTTGATTAAATGATACTTTAACAGCGAGGATAGGTTAAAAACTTTATTTCTTCTTGCACGTTTTTTAATTGTTTCCATTTTTGTATTCCTTTTCATAACTTATTCGGGATTTAAACGGAAGTGGTTTGGATATGGCGTTTGTCGCCTCAGCCTGAATATCTGTTGGTAATTTACTTATTTCGTTGTGAGCCATTTCTGGTTCCAATCTATGGCTCCAATTCAGCAGCCGACACGAAAGAGAATTAAAAAATATTGACTCAAAACCATCTCAAAACTGACAACCATCTGACAACTAAAGAGACAGCTTTATTTATTTATCAAATTCATAGATAAAAGAAAATAATCTACTATTAAGATAGATATGAAACTTAATAGTAAAATTTTGGGTCAAGCGCCCCTCCGTGTTTTTAGTGGAGACTACGTTTAACCCAGCGCCTTCGCCTTTTCTGCTGTAAATGTTTTTTATGTTTATATTTGAATTCAAAGGATTTATTTTTAAAGTTACACTGATATATTAGTATATCAGAGTAACTTTAATAAAACATAAGAATATATATATATATATTTTACAATTTATTTTTTGGTTTATTTTACAGAGTTTCATGTAAATAATCGTAAGTCGACTGGCTGTCTAATGAATAGACCGAGATTTATATATTTTAAAGCGAACGAAAAAAAAATCAAACAACGAATACATACCATATATTTTTCTTTTATCTAAGATACATACCTTATCGTCTTTTGGAAACACGTACAATTTTGCAGTTTTTTTAGTTTCTTTGCAAGATGCAACACAACAAGAAAACACCATTTTTACAGTTAATAAATAATAAAACTATTTCTGACTATGATATTTAAAATTTAGATAGATAGGAAATTAAAAAACAAACGAGTATTTGCAAACGCAGGCCCAAATTCAATAAAAATCAAAATTTTTCCTGCGAAAATCAGGCTTTTTTCACTGAAAAGGTAGTTTCATAGATAAATGAAACAAGTTTAGATTGGAAAGTGCCCATAAGGACAATGTAAACACTATTTGGCGCTATTCTTGTAATGGTCGCGACCCAAAACTTTTGAAAATTTCGGAGCGGTTCGGCTTTTTCCGGAATTATATCGCCAAATAGTGTTTATTCAAATTTATTATTATTTTCTTTTAATTTTATAAATAAAATACAGTGTGTTGCATACAAGAAACTTTATTTTATATAAGGACATGTATGAAATACCTATAAAATATTGGAAACCGAGGTTATGCCAGGATCCACGATGGTTTTTGCAGTTCACAGTTCACAGGACAGCTTTTTAAGTTTTTAATGCCACTTTTTCACAATTATCACCGGTTGGAGTAAATAAAACTTGAATTAAACTCACAAGATAGCAATAATTACTTTGAAAATGGACGCTATAAATATTTTTCGGAATTTCTTTAACGAGAGCGGTTTAGATTTTGCAAGACTTTATGATTTTTGAAGATTCTGACTTTGACAAGAGAAAATTATTTCTGTTTTTGTTTGTCGTTGTTCTTAGCGACCGCTATAGCAGCGCCAGATCGCATATAACGGTCGCGACCCAAAATAATTTCGCGACCCAAAATTTTTACGGGCTTTCCAATCTAAACTTGTTGCATTTATCTATGGGTAGTTTTTGATTTATCAGCAGTCATTGTTAAGTTGACAATATACAGGGTGTTTTCGAATTAGTCTAAAAAAATTATGGTGTGATTCCTCATGTTCTTAAAACAATTTTTATATAACCATTGGGTCTAAAGTACTTCCTTTCTGATCTACAGGGTGTTAAAAATTTAAAAAAATCCATTTTTTTGCTTAACATAAATGGTACACCAGTGCTTTTTTAAAGAAAATCTATTTTTTTCTTGACTGGCCATCCTTTTCCAACAAAATTGATCTTTTGAGTTTTTCTTGTTCATCAAACGGTTGTGGAGAAAAAAATAAATATACTTATTAAGAGCCCGCCTTAATTCGTTCTCTAACGATTTTTTATTTTTTAGATTTATTAGGAAACACCCTGTATATGCATATCACAGGCAACCAAATAAACTAGTAACCTCTAAAAATTATTTTTCCTACCACTAGCGACATACCGTGTTTTTAGTGTGTACTAAATTATTTTATGAAAATTTCACCATATAAGTTTCCAGGCAATGATCAAATTACATAGAAACTAACGCCAACCACTGCACAATATTTTTTCTACTCGTAATAAATTCCTTGAAACAATAATTTCTGAATATTTTTTAAAACGTAACTCGCTATGGAAAAAAATATTTATACACGACGATAAAATACCATTTTATCGTCTTGTATAAAAAATAACTATTATTCTAGAAATATATTTATCTACCTTCTCACTTTATCAATATTGTAGATGTGAACAATACTTAAATTCGGTACTTGAAAGAGATATCGAGAATTCTCTTCAGCCTCAAAAAGATGTTAATCTAACTCCTGTAGCCAAAAGTATGCAGGATGAACTGGAAGAGGCAGCCAAAGAATTGCAAAAGAAACAGAAAAAGGTAATTTTGTTGACTGGTATTAACCTTAAACCCTAGATCATATATACTTACGTGAATAAGTAAATCACTATGGAAACTGTCGCAAACATATCAACGACTCCCATTTATCTTCTTTTTTCGTTGCACACGCGGTGCTTCTACTCTGTCTATCCTTGTCGAGGACCTAGCGTCCACGGACCAAACTTAAACGTTAATTTTAAAAATTTGATTTGTAAAATGTGTATATTTGAAAAATAAATTGGATGTTTACTGTCACAAAAATTAAATTATATATAAAATACTACTAACCAGAAAGTATCCAATCCATGTGGTTTAATATAAATAAAAGAATAACTGAATAATTATGCCTATGAAAAGATAATTCGGGGACTTTATATTGCAACTTCCACACACCAAACACTTTCTAGTTATTTTTACCAGTATTTATAAAGTCCAACGAAAAAAAAATAGAACTAAGTTGCACAAACTTAAAGCGGTCCATAAAAGACTAATTAATACAATTTGTAAAATAAAAAAACAAGCGTCGTTACACAATGGAAATAAGATTATGACAACATGATTATGACAATATGATGACAATGAAAAGTTGGTTTTCACAACAATGTATAATTTGTACTTTCTAGACCATATAAAATTGTGATTATTTAGGAAATATGTATGTGCAACTTAAAATGCGCATGCGCAAAGTAAGGTCCTCGGAGAAGACGGTCCTCAGAAAAAGAGGAACGTTTCATAAGTGCAATAAAGAAGGTTTGAAAATGGCATGTCGTGATGTTGGAGACATATTTTTTAATGCTAAACTTATGGCGTTGATTTATCCACGTGAGTATATATATGATCTAGGCCATAAACTTTTCAAAATGTTTATACTTTTACCAAATTTGTCATATATGTATTTTCAAGATTTCAATTATGCTTGTATATATTTTCATTTTCTTTGTCACTAATGTAATTTTCATATATTTCAGGAACTGGAAAAACTTAAAAAAGAAAACTTGGAACAATTTGCCATAAAAGGTTCTGAAGACGAATGGAGTAAAGTATTAACGGGAAAAAGCAAAAAGAGTATAGTTTCAGTAAAGAGGTAAGTTAATTCACAATTTAAGAAAAAATAAAAATACTGTATGATCGGATAAATCGACGTCACGGTAATAATACACGTTAAAATTCCAATATAAAAATATATTTAAATACAAAAATATTTTACTTAATACAAATTTTGAACTTGAAACACACATCTTGAAACACCTTCAAGATGACTTTATAGATCTTCTGAATAATCCGATAGGATCTAGTTTTCTAGACAAAAACAGCGATGTTTGGTTAAAATTTTTCTTTTGTATAATTTTGTAACTTTGCAACAAGTTTGGTATCATAAAAAATGATTTTTTACGATTATTTGCCGCCATGACAGTTGTTGCATGACATATGTCAAAATATTTTTCAGTTCTTATTGGATATGCTGAGATTCCGATCTTTTTCGCGTATCATGCATGACAGTACTCTTGCCTGTCGTATGTCAAGTCTTATATTCTCTAGCTTGATGGACTAGAGCGATAATAAACTGTAACTATCAAAAAAATTATCTATGGTAATCGCAAAACAATTTCCGATGCACGTGATCAACGTTGAGTGACAAGCGATGGCGACAGCGCTACCAAATTGTTATGGATTTATCAGATGAATCTTAATTTAAAATTGACAATATATTTATTATATCATTTTTTAAAAAGTTTTACGTTTTATTTTTAATTTAATAACTAATATTTTAGTAATTAATTGATTTATTTTATAGGTTATTTTACTTATTATTGGCAAAAACTAGTCCATTATGAAGATTATTCTAAGCGTTATTATGGGTTATTTATTTATTTATTGATGTACATCTGACAACGCCATAAGTGTTAATAACAAGTAAGAGGGTGCTATAATATAATACACAAACTAATAATCACAGAATTTAATAAAAACTAATTTTGAAAGTGGTATAATGTGCTTATCAATCAAACTTACTTCTCTGACTGCAGTCAAGGGTAATAAAAGACCTTTATTGTCACGTTCCCGTTCAAATTGTTTATCAGGGAAGCTACAAGCTCTTTGTCTGGAATGTTTAAATGCTTTGGCATATTTTCAACACACAATTTCAAGAAATCCAATATAAAAACTCGAAATTTTAGCTCTTAAAAGAACTGTTTGTGCTTAAAAGTGCAATTTAAAAAAAATACGAAAATAGGCAAAAAACGAGAATTGCTCACAAAGATTCAACAAGACGATATTATACAAAATAATGACTGACATTAGGATAATTGTCAAATAATAATGGACAACATTGCTGAACCCGGCGCCATGTGAGCAACATAGCGATAATAAAATTCGGTTTAAACTAATTTTTACAGCTTTAATCTAAATAAAATATCTGTTACAATCATTTGCTCGATAAAGTAAAATGAAGAGCTGCTCGGTATCTTAAATTATACAACAAATTTAAGCATTTTTGCCAAAATTTCATTTAGTCAGGTTTATAGACCTTAATGTCAATGTCGATATGATTGATGACGTGCATCGGAAAATGTTTTGCGATTACTATATAGTAATGAAAACTAGAACTGAAATGGTACTTCTATGCTTACTGTGCCGTTTTTATCTAATTATATGGTATTCATTTTGTTAAAATTATTCATATATTATACAACGTATAATATTATTATATCATATCGATTATTATATACGATAATTGTAGCACTAGTTTTTTTAGTGCTACTGAAAATACTATTAATTCATGTAGTTCAAGCCTTCAAGAACTTTCAATACAAAATGATTAATTACTGAATATAAAAAAAATATGATTAAATGTTTGCTTTAGTGGCGAAAAAAGGATGTTTGAGGAGAACGGCAAGGACATAGATGTCGATGAAAGTCCAACTAAAAAGAAGAAAAAGACAAAAAATAAAAATAAAAAGCTATCATAAGAAATCAATATTATAATTCTGTTGTACAGACGTTTTTATATATAAGAAATAAAACAAATTATTTATACGTGTTATGAAGTATTTATTTAGTTACATCCCTAAATTACTTTATTAGATATAAAAATATTTAAGTACATGTAAGTAATATGTAGAGCGTATTATAGGTTATTCGAGTATATTAACCCATACGATCGAAAAAAACGTCAGAGTTGTCAACGTTCGTAAAAACAGTGCACTGTTTTTTTTTCGATCGTACGGATTTGTCTTCTACGGGAAAAACGGACGTGCGACATTTGTTTTTCCATTGAAGATTCAAGTTTGGCAATATAAAAAATCAACAATATAATCAATAGAAGACAACCAAACTAACGTAATTATCACAGAGACAATTTTAAAACTTACAGCATACAAACTAATACAATTTTGACATAATATTGTATAACAAATTGGGAACTATTGCACATATTGAGAAAAACATACAGTGGTGATTTTAACTCAGACAAAATAAATAAGTAGAGAGGTATCTTATAAAAACGTTATTAAACCTAAATAAAAGCTTTGTAACGCATGTTTCACAACATCAGGCGTCCTGATTTTTATTTTTTACACCCTATAAGACTTGTTGAATGTAAACCATAGTCAAGATGCTTGATTCATTAATATATTTAAATCCTCTAAATTTACTTATTTCTCTGAGTCTATAGCATATTTTATTGTGAATAAAAATAGAAGACATTTTGGACGTTTATTTATTCAATAGATATTAAATATTTTTTAAAAGGGTTAAGGTTTAAAAATAGATATATTGTAAAAATTGGCACTTTTATGTATTAAAATCTATGGAAGAAATTGTTAAAATGTTTAAGTATATATATATATATATATATATATATATATATATATATATATATATATATATATATATATATATATATATATATATATATATATATATATATATATATATATATATATATATATTTTAAATATAATTCACAAAATAGGTGCATAATACCGTATGATCGAAAAAAAATGGCGTCCAGTTGGCTGGGAAATGACGATCGATGACATTTCCCATATAAATTTACATATAAAATGACAGCGATCTTCATTTCCCAGCCAACTGGACGCCGTTTTTTCTCGATCATACGGTATATTAACATTGGTTCTTTATTATATGTTATCATGATTATCAGTCTTTGTAGATTATTAATTATAGTCCAAAAGTATTCCTTATAAAAATATTTTAGTCTTATTCAAAGAGATAATTCTGTCATATTTTATATTAAGTTTGTAATTTAATGCAGTTTGTCAATTTTGCAAATTTAACACCAGAAAAAAATGTTGTTTATTATATTTCTCAATAAACAGAAAACAACTTTACATTAACAAAGACCAACGTAATATTCAAATTTTGAGAATGTACAATTATTACTGATATGGATGCACCAACAATCAAGAAATTCGATAGAAAAGAAAGAGAGTAGGTAATCAATTATATTTTTAGAAATTTTAGGCATTATTTATTTAAAAATTTTAGAGTGCCTTTAAATATTAAAAGTAATACAACTACTTAATAATATATTTACGAATAAGATAAAACCTAACAATTAAAAATACTGTACAATATATAATACAACAAAAAATGTTCTAGTAAATCTAAGGTTCTAGTAAGTCTAAGGGTGCGTCTCAAAAGTGACTCACCCCTATAACTTTTTTATTTTTTTAGATAAAACAACGAGATTTGTTATGTTAGAATATGACATCAATTGGGATTGATTGACATATTCAATTGTTTTCTGTCATTTCTGGTTTCACTGGAAATGACTACAACTTTTGATTTTTAAATGGCACCCTCGGTATTTTTTTACTTTATCCGATAGAAAATGAACTCTGAATAGAATGACATATTATATGTCAACTTTTGACATTTTCGCATATGGTTTATTTGAAATTGTAACATGCGGTTCATAACGACAATTTGACTCGAAATACCAAGTGTGTGGTACCAAATTATTCGTAAAAAAATGCTTTTTCAAAATATGCTAATGAGCCACCCTCCTTCCATTTGAAAAAATTGACATATGATTAAAAATACGATTTGGGCATCTTTTAACCGGCCAGGACAAGAGACTAAAAACATTAGACAATCAAATCTATTTTTCCAAGGCTCCTTGACAGTCATGGCACTTTAGATTGAAATTTTAAATACAATTTATTTTTGAACGAATATGTCAAAAGTTGACATATGATATGTTATTCGATTCAAAGTGTGATTTTCAATCGAATAAAGAAAAAAAATACCGAGGGTGCCATTTTTAAATCAAAAGTTGTAGTCATTTCCGGTGAAACAGGAAGTGACCGAAAACAATTGAATGTTAATCAATCCCAATTTATTGCATATTCTAACATACCAAATCTCGTTTTATCTGAAAAAATAAAAAAGTTATAGGGGGTGAGCCACTTTTGAGACGTACCCGGTATGTAAAGTAAGTAGAGTAAAAGTTTATGGTAATAGTATTGTGAGTTAATATAATAACAGACTTGAAACATATCTATATGAGTATCTACTATAATCTCTAAAAAAACGACTAATTATCTAGAAAATTTCATTCTAAATATACGAAATGTTTCTAATATTCAATAAATTATATAAGATTTTGGCAATCTTAAAAATATTCCTACGTATAATCTAAACGAGATAATGAAGTTATATAATGCTCTACTGTCAAAAATATTGAAGTGTGTTGTATTAAAAGACATTATATAGGTTTCTATGGAATATATGTCAAATATATAAAAAAAATGGTAGGCTCTTAACAAACTTGGCTAGTGCGATTAGATCACATCCCTGATTCAGCTATACCTTCGTCATCTAGTAAAAAAAAGAAGAAATATTATTGAGATGTGCTGCAAATTTTTATCATATTTTGTTTTTGAAATGTTTCCAAACACGTGCTAGCATTTAATCCTTTCATTTATAACTATTTATTAAACTTGAAGATCTAATATCCTATTAAAACTGATATGAAATGACACTGATATGACATTTGAGACGTCAAAGATCGATGTGTATGCTATACATACTAGTTTTTGCATGCATCGAAATTGGTATTAAAGTTATTGGCATGCACTTTTCCATTACTTGAACAACTGAGAAACGTACATAATCAACAAAAATATTAAGCATTTTAAGGGTTAAGAATTTTTTTTTAGTTTTCGACGATAAAAGAAGACACCGCGTTACATAAACATATTAAGGAAGGAGTCTATAGCATTCTAATGAAAAAACGTTTAGCATTTTTTGTTGGTTAGGCAAATTTGATTACAAGTAAGGACCACTGACAAAACAGTTTCGACGATTTTGGACACGGAATCGATGTCATGGAAATGCTCTTGTCATATTTATTTGACTTAATACATTTAAATTTGAGTCTTTGCGTATTTGGCAGTCAATGGTTTTATGCAAAGTGTACAAATTTTTAAAAACAATGCCAGGACTTAAGTTACAGCGAGATCGTTGTGACTCTTAGAAATCGATTAAACGAATTACTGGTTAAATTTGAACTGACAAGGGCTAAAGAATTATACATCAGCCGCTTTTCGTTGATTCGAGCTTTAAGAAAACATAATAAAAATTGGATATTTTGCGGGTGTAACTATACAGGGTGCTACAAATTCGGGGTACGAGCATTAGGATCTCGGTAACCGTAATAGATACGAACATGGTTAAATTGTGGCAAAGTTGTGATTTGGGATGTTAACCAAGTTCGTATCTATTACGGTTAACCAGATACCAATGCTCGTACCTCGAATCTGTAGTACTCTTTATTGTTATACATAAAATTAATAATTAATTGATATTTAGAAGAGTTAGTCTTAAGAGCGTTTTAGTATCAGACACTGAAAAAAAATTAAGGAAGGAGTATATCAACATAATAAGCGAGACTTCGGAGGAACTTTAATTGCTGACTTAAATTCTGGTTAATTAACAAAGTTATGTAAGAATAATCAAAATTAATAACATGTTAAAATATAAAGTTTTTTCTAATGAGAGGTTACACAACAGTGACAGTTGCTATTTGTCATTTTATTTCATAAGTAAATTGTATTATCTCTCATTTTTTTAAAGTCGTCTGGAGAAATCTTTCCTGACTCGCTGAACAGACTCAATAATATGCCGAATAATGTCTTTTTAATAGAACGGGCTTATAATAGACGTACTCCGCCATCTTCTGTAATTGACAGCTCACGTTAGGCACGCTTATAGCTTATTTGTAATAATAATTGATGCCTATTGTAAATCAGAATCAAACTAAACATTATAGAATATAAATTCAATGGAAAATAGTGGGAAAATAGCATTTTCAAATGTAGAAAGATATTGAAATAGGTATATTGAAAATACTTCTATCGAAATGTAAACAAAAATATAAAGAACAAATGGGTCAGCCCTTTTTTTATAATAATCAATGAGTTAATTTCTATTTAGTAACAAAAATATAGATCCTGTACTGGAACAACTCGATATCACTTATTACATTTGGAAGTCCTGATAAATGTCAGAATTCGTTAACTCTAAACGAATATGTTGGTTTACTACTCTAACCAAAAAAAATCCTGTATGCCACTGCACTGCAAGAAAATCTACAAAATAAAATAATTATTTTTTGTAAACACTTCTGCGTTAAACCTAAACGGACGCTGCTTGTCAGAAGTTATGTTTACGGTAATACAAATTTGCCTAACAAAGCAAAAAAAATGCTTTACGTTTCGGAAAGCTATCTCTTTCCGTCGTCGGAAGCAAAAAAATACAAAGAATTAAGAAAAAAACTATTTAAAATATTTAAATTCAACTATTCGAGAACACTTTACTTTTTTTAAAACAGATACGTCTACAAGAAACCGTTGACGACGGAAAGAGATAACTTTCCGAAACGTTAAGCATTTTTTTTTGCTTTGTTAGGCAAATTTGTATTACCGTAAACATAACTTCTGACAAACAGCGTCCGTTTAGGTTTAACGCAGAAGTGTTTACAAAAAATAATTATTTTATTTTGTAGATTTTCTTGCAGTGCAGTGGCGAAATACGCATACAGGATTTTTTTGGAAAGATGAATCCGCCACATAGATATAGACATTTTTTATTATTCTTCAAGTTTTTAGTTTTGGAACGCAAGCATAAATCCTGGTTGGCACGGTCAAAGTGTACTGGGATATAATATACCTAGACGAAGCGCGCGTCTGACGAGATCGTACCAACTGAATTAAAATCGTTTAACACGATCCAAGTGGCGTCCAAGACAGACGCGCGCTGTGTCGAAGTGTGTTTGATCCAAATACACTTTGACCGTGTCAACTAGGCTTAAGTAATTATTTCTAGTAATCCAAATTTCGACACAATGACTTTCAAGATCTATACACTAGGTATACACCAGTTAAGTATAAAATTACTACACAAAATACGCCACAACTCGCAGTAATTCAAATTTGTCACAAGAAAAATCAAAAGTGACAGAAAGGAGGTTGCCATAACGTACCTTCCGTCGCTAATGCATGAACATAAAAGTAGTATTTGACTCCTTCCTTAATTTACTTATTCAACGGAGAGCATTTTAGTAACAAACCATGCGTTTAAAACATTACACAAAGAAAAAATATATTACCCTTGCCAAATTTATGAAGCCCTCGAGCCGTGTATAAGACAGAAAATAGTCTGTTAAGTGCAGTAGTAGTAGCCAACCACCCGCTAAGCTACCTCTCCTTCTCCTTCCCGTTGGGCGGCGAGCCCAGCTGAGGCAGGTCGGCGACCGGCTTGACGCCGGCCACTGCGACGCTCTTCCCCGCGCCGGCGCCTCCGCAGAGAAGCAGCGATTTACACTGACTAAATATGTGCCACACCATGTCTGGAGCAAGGTACAAAATAATACGTAGGGTGTAAGCGGGAAATGAAGCGAATTAATTATTTTTTATAAGACATCCATCACCTATTTTGTTTAGTCGTTTGTGTTGCGATTAAACTAACTAACGAAAAACAAATGGATCTGTTTTATAAGGTAGTTTTATTAAAATATTTGTTAGTGGTTATACCACAGATTATACAGATTATAATCTTTGTTTTTTCTTTATTGTTTTTCGTGGTTCCAATTTTCGGAATCGGGCACTAGTTAGGTGACTAGTTTGCGCACATAGCACGCCCACTTATGGCCTCTAAAATTGTGCACAGCGCCTGACCGGCACAGTTATTAGAGAGATATCGGAAAACCCTGGAAAACCGAATAGCGTCATCCAGTATTTACGCGTACCTTATCATGGTTACGATATGCGCGAGTCTTTGGCGCGAGTCAATTTTTAACGCAACACCCGCTAATAACGTTACCGCCTGACGTAATTTGCGGATCAATTACACCAAGCGCTCTTTCTAAATAACCTCTGATAACGTTTAAACATTGCTTAAATGGGCATGTGCGGGTATTTGACAACCGGAGCCGGCCGGCGAGATCTTTTATTTTAGGTTATGTTTGAATTATTGCTTTAATTTTATTAGGTAATTTGATATTTAAGTAGCTGCGATTAGTTTTAATTAAATAAATATGGCCCAAAATATGGATTCAACCTCTTCCAATACTAAAGAACCTATAAAGAGTCTTAGGTTTACAGCAGATGACGACTTAGCCCTTCTAAGAGAATTTGTTGCTTGTTGCCCTAAACCCACTGGCAGACGTTGAACAATAAAGCACTGAAAATAACCACTTTAGCCCTTTAGTTTTAAAATACCTAGTAAACAAAACAATTTCAAAGTTTTAAATTCAAAGTTAGGTTAAGTTTAAATAGCGGACGCGACGCGATCAGAATTCTTTCCAATCCGATAACTATAAATTAAGAGAGTTAATACCACCTCACGTAAAGGAAATAATACCTGGCCTTATTAACGTCCATGCACGCTATTCGGTTTAGCGATATCTCTCTATTACGCTGTTTATTGTTATTTTACGCGAGTTTATTTTTGCGCACAGGAAATTTGACTCGTTTGCACATCGTCATAAAAAACAATTTTCGTACCACGAATTAGGTGTATGGTATGTGTTAAAATTATCTGTAACTTATAGGATACCTAATCTGTAGTTATACTAACACATATTTTATTAAAATATGTGTTAGTTTTTGGTGGTCCGAAATGTATTCCGGAAACTTCGGCAGCATATTCTGCTCATAAAAATATGTAAAAAAGTTCGTATAAATGTATGGCCTAAAATGCTTAGTTTCGGAGATACAGGGTGTAGAAGTTTCATTTTTATTTCGATGTTTTCCAAATAATTTCTGAAGTAACGTCAATATTTGTATAAAAATTCGTGTCTGGGAGTTTTTTGACATGAGAAATTTGGATTTTGATGTCAATATGCCTACTATTTGTAAGGGGCGCCACCTACATGTGTCTTAACTGTCTTGAAGAGTAATAACTTTTCGTCCGTACCTTTATAAAACTAATAAAACTACTGAGTGAAAAAATATAAATTTCCGTGATTTTTTATCTCTTGGTAAAAATCGCTACGAGCAACCGTTCTCAAGGTATTTAGAATGGAAATAGTCAATACATAGCATTATTGACAAAAAATAAACACGTTGAGTAGATAGTTATTTGACTGAAATAATAAATTTGGAAAATTTTTTTTTTTTTAATTAATTATAAATTTTTCTGCGAAAAAATAATGATAAAACAGTTTCTGTTCAACGTTTTTTACAAAAACACATCAAATTTATGATTTCAGTATAATAACTATTTGGTCAACATGTTTTTATGTCAATGATGACAGGTATTGACAATTTCGATTCCAAATATCTCGAGAACCATTACTCGTAGCGACTTTTACCACGAGACCTTTTTTACATAAAAAACGTCGTAAATGTAGATTTTTTTACTCAGTAGTTTTATGCAGGTACGGACGAAAAGTTATTACTCTTCAAAGTAGTTAAAGAATATGTAGGTGGCGCCCTCTACACGCAGGACATCAAAATCAAATTTCTCATGTCAAAAAAACTCCCAGACACCAATTTCATAAATTATTTGGAAAAAATCGAAATAAAAATGAAACTTCTACACCCTGTATCACCGAAATTAAGCATTTTAGGACGAAATACGAACGTTTTTACTTATTTCTATCTGCAAAATATGCTGCCGAAGTTTCCGGAATACAGTTCGGGCCACCCTCTATTAAGGCAGGCGGCCACTGCGAGCGTAACCAAACTAAGCTACGATTATAAAAACAAACGGTAACTAAACGAAAATAAGTTTCATCGGCCACTGGGAACGATTTTCGCTCAGTAGTCAGCTAAGCTAGCTGCGTTTTCGTATTGTATCTCTGCTATCATAGAACTAAGTAAGGGAGCTGATTTTTACAAATCATATCTTCGCTTGGCTTAGGTTGCCGCCCGCCTTTAAGCTTCTGTACTTTAAATAACATGTTAACTTCCATCATTAACTTAGGGTTGCCAACTTTCAAAAACAAGAAATAAACGACGAGAAGTTAAAAAAGCGCAAGAGGCGAAACATTTTTTTGAAACCTCGACCAAATGTTCAAGGTCAAGAATTTACCCAAAAGTTACGGTAACGGTTATGCGGATGATGGTCTTTCTAACTTTCTTTTTTTTTAATTTTTTATACTCAAAAGTTGGTAAAATAAAACAAGCGATTTTCTACAAAACTTTCTATTTCAAAATACAACAGTAATTAAACATAAAAAAGCAAAACACGTTTGTAGCATACACAAATATTTCTTGTACGTAAATATTTCTTTTCTGTACGAGGGAGTAGCGAAAGACACATTTTTGACAGATTAATACAGTCCTATTCAGCCATTTTAGTCCTTGTGGGATTTGATTTTGAAAACTATAGAAATATATCTAAAAGTTGTACTAGAGGAATTACAATAAATGGTATATTATTATTTGATCAACCTTGTAGGCGATAGACGAATATTTTTTTTAGATTTTGAGTTAGGTGTGTAAAAAAGGGGACTGTCTTCTGGAATAAAGAAACGTTGGCAACCCTATACCAGGGGCTTTACCCTATACCAAGGGCTGGCAAATGTTAGTTTTGGGTCGAAATTTCCGTATGTAAGAAGAGTACAATGCGTTTATAATGTACTGAAAAAAAAAGAGAGAACAGTAAAATGTTGTCAAGAAATAAACCGAGAAACTATGCACATTGCTAAGAGACGTGGAAGGAGATATAGCAAATTACCAGATTCGTCGCGGTCGTCCGGTCGACCCAATCAGTACTTAAAATTCTAGGGAAGGGTGTACATCATGCGTTCAGCTTCACGATTTAATTATGTCTCGTGATACTTTATTTGTTTATTTATTAACGAGGCGTTGTAATTTTCCCTATTATTAGGTATTATTACCTTTTAAATTTTTAAGTGCAAGTTAGAAACACTTGCACTTTTGGTAAAAATAAGCGGAATAAAGTCGGTGTTCGACAGTAGTCGCGCTATTAGATCTCTGAATTCAAAAATCCATATCTCAAAATCCATTAGAAATAATCGATTGTATTTTTTTTCAAAAACTTTCTTAATATGTCTGCTATATTTTCTTCGCAGACAGTATGTGAAAATCCATCACAAATAAGAAGGTAAATGGACGTTTTTTTTTAAATTCTGAATGGAAAGAAAATCGATTTTTTCTCATTTAAACATCTTGTAAAAGATCCGAACTTCAATAAAAAAAGTTTCAATATATGAAGAGGTTCTTGAGTTATGGCGTGTTGGTATGGTATGTGTTAAAAAGTTGAGTTTTTAAATTATCGCGATTACTAACGTTTTCTCGTTATAAAAAATGGACACCCTAACGATATCCTTATAATTCCATTTCAGATTCTCAGAAACATATCTAATGATTTTATCTAGTTATCTTTTCGAAAAAAAAGTCTTTTAAAAATAAGCCGTTTGTTATCGTGATTTTACTTTACTTGGTAGGGAAAGGCGTACCGGAGAAATGTGGCAGCGCCGCAACAGCACACACGGTTGCATTTCCCTCACTCCAACTTAATAAGATGCTTATGCGATTTACTTCCACACATGTAAATATCGACCCAAAAGTATGAGTTGCCAGCACGGTATGTAAATCTGCCTTAAAATGCTGTATGATAAAAAAGAGGCGCAAGTTGGGTTGAAAATTATGATCGGCGGCATTTTCTATGAAACTTTACATAGAAAAAGACAGCGATCTACATTTCCAAACCAACTCTAATGCCCTTCTTTTTAAATTGTATAATAGCATACAATTTAAAAAGAAGGACATTACACATTTCTGGGACCGTCCACTTTGGTCACAAAGGCCGTTTATTTACAAAATTAAATTTCACCCAGTATTTCGAAAAATGATTAATTATTAAATAAAATTGTTTCTAATCAACAAACAGAGGAGAAACGAAAGACAGAAATGTTAGTCACTAAAAATAAGTCACAAAATAATTAGTGATGATTTACTAGTATCAGCTAGTAAATATACTATTTGACATTTATACTTCTTTAATTCCTTCATTTAATAGATTTCAGTGCCTCTACTATATTATCAAAGTATTAAATGACAAACTACCGTAAAAAAATCTTGTTTGGGGCAACATTACAAGGCAACACACCGTCAAGAAATTTCAGAAAAATTAACCTATAGCACTAAAAGTTTTAAAAAATTCCAGATAATTTCAAGAAAAAAGTTCTTAATGACTCCTCAAGGACCTTGTTCTTGGTGTTAAAACATACTACTTAGTTAAAATACTTGCACTTATTAAGAGACATTAAGTTTATTTATTTGGTAGTTTAAATCTGAACAGAGATATCTCTTTTTCAATAAGTGATGGATGCTTATAGCTGTTTTATTATTTTATATGGGTATATGGCAATAGTAAATACTTGCCAATTTCGAATTAATTATTAGCTAACCCAAAAAGCTCTCGACCTCTACCACCATCGACTTACCTTCGAATCCCTGATTTTCGTGTATCTCTCTGGGCGGACCCGTCATCTCTTTTCCTTCCAGTACTGCCAGCAGGCACTGGTGGATGCAAATGTACTGCTGCTCGGTTTGCACCATCCACACGCGCTCTTTGCGCATGGCGTACACGATTCCGAAAATATCTACGTAATCGGAAGTTTGAATTTGTTGGACGATACGGTCCAAGCAGATGAAGGTTCCGGATCTTCCAACGCCAGCGCTAAAGAGATTTATTTTTTTTAGTAAAATTCTAAAACCTCTTTGATACACAAAAAACACACAGCGAGTGTGTTGATGACGATAATATTTAATATAGAGGTCTTAAATTGTTTGCGTATTTTTATTTCATGTAAATATAAATGATTTTGGTAACTATTTTAGTAATAATTATACAGTTTCACAGATAACTAAGAGAAATTTGACTTCTACGATAGTTTCTGCTTTGATTTAGATTACACATTTGCCAAATTTCGAAAAACTTTATTTGAAAAAGTTTCCTAATTTTACATAAATATACCAATTTTTGGCTATTTAGATGAAACAATTTATTTCGTCATTTTTAACCAATAGTAGCCGATTCTCATGATAGAAGCAAAAATAACTGATAGGAACTAGAGGTGGGTCAAGATTGAACGAGTCGTTCATTCGAATGAGTATTAAAAATGAATCGTGAGATTCGATTCACTGCTTAGAATACGGTTCGTTCAATTGAATCGTGGCCAGCACGGATCCATAAAATATGAACGATGAGCTGTAAAAAAGAGTCGTGAAAATTGAATCGGATCACAATGCGATCGTTCGTTTCTACGGCTCATTCGTTCAAAGAGCCGTGAGAATTGATTCATTGCTTAGAATGCGGTTCGTTCAATTGAATCGTGGCCAGCACGGATCCATGAAATTTGAACGATGAGCCGTAAAAAAGAGTCGTAAGGGTTGAATCGGATCACAATGCGATCGTTCGTTTCTACGGCTCGTTCGTTCAAGGAGCCGTGAGAATTAATTCATTGCTTAGAATGCGGTTCGTTCAATTGAATCGTGGCCAGCACGGATCCATGAAATTTGAACGATGAGCCGTAAAAAAGAGTCGTAAGAGTTGAATGGGATCACAATGCGACTAGTTCGTTTCTACGGCCGGGATAGAGGCATAGAGAGTCGGGCACCAATTTAGACTTGAACGAAAACCTTAAACAAACATCATGGGCATAAAATGCAAACGATTCTTCTACAGTCAACTTCAGTCAGTTCATTCTTCTGCCAGTTACGATTCGTCTACAGGAAAAAACCTATTTATGCTGTGCTTAGTACGGGAGTATCTGTATAATGTATTTAATTTTAACGTTAATATTTTTGCCGCTAACTGACAAGAATGACATACGAAATGTCATTTAACGTATATCTCTAACGTCACCCCCCGCTATCTTAGGGACGATAGATATAAGAAAAACCATAACGTTACGCATGCGCAGAAGTTGTAAATTTATCTTTTTCTCTCCGAAACTGGTTCATTTCATAATTTACACTCAGTTTTAGATAAATTGTTGAGATTAAAGGCCCCGTACATTTCAGCTCTATTCACATTATTGTGTCTATTTAACACTTCCAATAACAGAACATCTTCTAAGTCACTGTCAGAGTCCGAGGAATTAAGGGCTGCAAACTCCTCGTTCAACATGATACTTATATTGTTTAAACTGTGATATAAGTAGGTATCAGCAACAAAAGAAATAGTAAAAGTTTAATAGAAATAAGAAATAGCAAAAGTTGATTGCTTCTCACTTATATTTGTATTAGCGACGATGACGTAGAGGTGACTTTTAACTTAACGCTAGCTAAGTTAAAGTCTCGGTTAAAGTATACGCCTATGTTAAGCGTCAAAACGAACACAACATCGAAAACTGTCTAATATTTACCGACTATAAACCATTAAATTTCGGCTAAAAAACGAAATCGTGTTTTTAAGCAACTTCAAATAAATATTGTTGGCCTCTGCTCAATATGATAAAAAAAACGGCGTCAGCGATGGTTATAAAATGATGGCTGTCATTTTATATGTAAAATTATAAAAGGAATGTTACTGATGTTCATTTCCAAGCCAAATGGACGCCATTTTTTTCGATCATTCGGTATTATATACTACTTATTATGATTATTAAATCGGTATAAAAATATGCTCTAAAAATATTAAATTGGTATTAAGAAGTCTTTAATTAATAGTATATATGAATTGGATTGACAATTTAATATTGGTTAAATAATCAATCCAATTACGCCAGTGTCGTAAAGTGTTGAAAAACAAATGAAAGAACTGTATATTTCTTTTTCTGGTCCCTTAAGGAATTGTCCGACCTAATTATCGCCGGTAATGCCAGTTACGATTCTTGGTTTTATGAAACATAAATTGTGCATGTGGTTCGTTCGAATGAACGAATCGTAGGAGTCGATTCAATATGAAAAATTGAATCGTGTGATTCGATTCACTAAAAAGAATCGCAATGTCCATCACCAGTATATACCGATAATATAATTTAAAAATATTCCTTACCTGCAATGAACCACAATAGGTCTTTGATCAGGAGGTACCCTTTCTCGGAATGCTCTTACAAATCTAACTAACGTATGGGGAGGACTCGGTACGCCGAAATCAGGCCAAGTACTGAAATGGAAATGTCGTACCACTCTTTGCTGATCACCCTGGAAAAGAACGAGATACATATGTCAACCTTAGGGGAAAAAAGAATAGAAAAGAACAAACAGTTTAAAACGTAGTATAATTTGAACCTGTCTGAGTTATAAAACAAGTTAGCAAAATGTAATTTAAGTGGTAATTTTTATAAAATATTGGGAATAAAATAGACTCACCCTGCAAACCATAAATTCTGATATGTTCCAATCAGGATATCTGGTCTCATTTAATATCTGGACTGATATGTCTCCATAATAAACTGGCATGGTATCATAGGGCCAGTAATGATCACATTTTTCCCTACCTTTTTCGACACATCTAAGAAAAAAATACCAAACATAATTAGATAATTCCATAACATAAATATTTTAAATGGTAAAAGCAATGTGCCGAATTAAAAAAATTGGCGCCGGGAGGCACGTACAGCCGCCCATACTAAAATATGTTATTTCCCCTATCCGCCACCTGGGGTCGCGTCCGATGGGAGTGTGGAGTTCTCCACATGGGTTTTCTCAAAAACGGACTACGGAAACACGGAATATGTTAATTTGTTTAAAATATATCTCCGTAGATAAAAGCGAAAACCGCGTTTTGCTAGCTGTTTCGTTTCTGAGTTATAATTTATTAAACAATATTTCATATTTTTTTTATCTCAAAAACTGCGACTTTGACTGATTTTGATGTTACTACAAAATATGTTGTAAATATTATCCCTAATCTTAAATTAAAAACCGCGTTTCGCTAGCCACTGTAATTTTGGAGTTACGATTTTTTAAAATTTTTAACCCCCTTCTATACCCCCTTACCAACACCCCCACCCCCACTAAAAACTAATAGCCAGATTCTCGGGTGCCAAATTTGGTTAAAATCAGTTTAGCAGTTTTTGAGTTATCGTGTTACAGACGGACAGACAGACAGACACCATGAAAATATTTTGTATTTAGGCCATTTATGACCCAAATAACTCATTTTGAGTGAAATTAAAAAAACTTTTTTTTGCCGATCTTAATAGCCTACCAAACCTGTTGGTATGGTCGGCTAAAAATGCAGATACTCAAGAACGTGTGGGTATTAGTTTTGGTTCTGTAATTGTAAAACAAAAATTCAAACCAATTACCTTGTAAGCATAATAATGGCGCGAGAATTTGATTCCCAAACCATACGCCAAAAGTCATCTCTAGTGGAATGTAAAGGTCCCTGAGTAACTAAGAATTCTCTTGGTGAGTTGAATCCCTAAAAATATTACAGTACATAGTTGAAAATATGGATACACATTTTAATTTTGTTTTATTAATTTGAGAGCATTCAAAAAATCAAGAAGAATAATTTAAATGTTTTAAGTTTCATCAGTAAAATAAAAAGACTAAAAAAGCAACCTAATACTATTTTTACATTCATCCATTAACGACGGAAGTAACATCATCAAAATACTTTACTATACTTTTCTCAATTTTGTTGGGCATTTCACCTGACACATTTGAATTTGATTTGCATTTATACTAAGGCTGGCATTTTTGGTCCTGGGTGCCGATAATCGTGTGTACGAAGAGTACTGTCAACGCACTTAGCAAAATAAGATGTACCGAATAAAGAGAGAAGGCAAGTATTTTCCCAAGCGCATGGAATCTAGCGTCAGATTAAGTAGTTATGTAATAAATACTTCATATTTTTGCTCTCTCCAACTTACCAGATTGTCATAGCGATTCACTCCTATACATGTAAACGCCGACGCAAGGTTTCGCTTGCCAGCAGTACAGCTTTGAATGTCTTGTCTTTGCTTATCAGGCCTGCCATGAATTTTGGAGAATACTACGAACTTTTTCACCTATCTACCCTGCCGAATTTCTCCACTATTCTAGAGATTTGTTGGATTGAAAACACCGACTAGTGTCCATTCATGTGACTGTCTCTGCGATGCAGCAGAGGGATTTTGGATCTATGAATGGCATTAAAGAGCCTTGTTTGACCATTTCATCTGCTTTTCGTTACCTCTGCGGCGACCCTCGTGCCTTTGTGTCAGGACATGAACTACAGTGAGACTGTTATGAATCTTAGAAAGCCATTATTGAGCCTATCTTACTTTATATTTTAACACGGTTTAGAAATATAGAAAGCCAGTTATAATCCGGAATTTAAGTCAGCCATATTAAATGCTTCGCGATCCTGCTAATTTTCTTAATATGCGCCTTCCTTAATCTTTTTATTCATTGATCAGTATTATAATGTACAAAACCCGCGTGAATTTCTTCAGGTTTTACTGTTGATACAGTAAAACTTGATAAAATACTCGCTCAAACTTAAGACACTCAAATACATATATATGAAAAAAAATAGGAGATATGAATTTTAACTTACAGGTACATAATTAGCATTGACGTAATCTGATCCCTCCTCGTCATCTACTGGTTGTAGTTTGAAACGGGAATGGTCATATGGTAAAATATTGGTAAAACGGTTCTTGGGTCTGTTACATGGTAAATCGGCAGCTGTACAGGGTTGATCCCTTCCGACGTGTTTCAGTTCTTCGAATTCTTCGCTAAACCTAAAACAAAACACTATACTTTGTCACGTGGAGTAATTATAACAAGCAAAGACATTTTCGAAATATCTAAACTTTTAAATGCTTTCAATGTCCGAATTAAAGAAGTTAAAAAATATTTAAAAAGTGAATTCTTGAAAACCATTTGTGGGACACAAGCCATAAAGTAGACTTTAAAAATAGGAAAATTATAATGAAAGAACTGATGGTAAAGAAAAGCCATTGAAGTTAATCAAATATGAATAAACGTAAAAAAAAGCTCAAGCATCTAGAGATAGTTCGTTATCTATAGTAATGTAATGGTTATCATTTCTTTAATTTTTTCAAACAACGCTACATAACATAAATCTTAATAAACAACAAAATATTTCATTATTCATAAGACATAATACGTTTTTTGGTCTTACCTCATTAGGTAATTTTCATAGCTTATTTCGTGTTTTTTTATTAGGTTCCAAACCACCCTAGAACTGTGATATGCAAGCGCAGAAGAAAATATGTTGCAATTTTTTCATCTGTGCATGCGCTGTATAGTTTCTAGGACGGGCCAGAATCGGTAATAACAAAAACCCGAAGAACGCTTTTATATAATGTCAGTTTATCAGAACGTGAACCGTTTTTAATAGACTGTGTCTGTATATGATTCTCGTAGTAGTTACATTTAGACATTTTTAATAGTTTTTTTTAATTCTTTTTGATTTTTGCTTCTGACGATTGTGGGAGGAGATATACCCCCTGAAACGATGAGAATTTTCCTTGGTTTGGCAAATTTTTAAAAACCTGTTTTCTGCTTGGTTTCTACCATAGATAAAAGAAATAAATTTAGAATGGAATACCCGTCAAAATTTTGCGTCGCGACCGTTGTACGCGATCCACAGTGGTTCCCAGATAGGTCATTACTTAGAAATATTAATTTCAAAATGTTTGCATGAAACTGTTGCTAATACTTTTCTTATATTCCCCTGTAAACGATACATAATAACAAAAAAATCAAGTAAGCCTAGTGTAGCGCTTTTTTTATTAGAAATGTCACATTTTTGCTGCTGGTATCAAGCTGACATAAACAGTTTTCAGATAACGCCAATTAATTACTTATTTTATTAAAATTGATAAAAGCTGTTGCCTTTTCTGTAATGGACGTTCGAAAAGAAGGTAAAAAGAACTGTTTTTTTCTTTTTTGCACTTAATTAAACCTAAGTAATATTAGTTTATGGCAATTTATTTGAAGGTAACAAAAATAGTATTTTTACATTTTTGCTTGTCACTCTTTAAGACTTTTAATTACTTTCCCTTTCAAATCCTCTTAAACGGCATGAAAATACTTGTTGCTTAAAGTATATTGCATATAAATTAATTGACACTGGCTGCCGCAAATTGCCGCCGGATCTTATACCGGGTGGTTAAAGATTGACTTTTTGTCTTAAAATAAAGGTAACTTATTTTTTCCTCTTCGTGTCAACTTATTTCGTGGACACACTGTATATCAATTGACAATAAAATTGTATTTATAAAATGAAACAACTGCCTCTTTTATTTTTTCAGCATTTAAAATAAATTTGACCTCTTCAATATGAAAAAACATGTACATATGTGCAAACATAATCTGTATACTTACCTTTCCGAATAGTTAGAACTTAAAAATGCAAATCAACCGAATTGGGCCCAATTTTTTTAATACATATTACATTAGGTTTTTTATATACATTTATTTAGCATTTGTTATCAATTTCTATTAAAAAAGGTGCAGTCAAGCTATATCTAGATATATAACAGTTATGACCGCGCAGCTAATTAAGGGGAACCACTGTGCGATCTGGCGCTGCTATAGCGGTTGCTATGAACAACCGCAAACAAAAACAGAAATAATTTTCTCTTGTCCATATCTCTTGTAATATCTTTTGTAGCAAAATATCTTGTATATAATGTCAGAATCTTTAAAAATCATAAAATCTTTCACAATCTAAACCGCTCTCATTGAAAAAATCCCGAAGAGTGTTTAAAGCGTCCATTTTCAAAGAAATTATTGCTATCTTGTGAGTTTAATTTAAGTTTTATCTACTCAAACCCGTGATAATGGTGAAAAAGTGGCATGAAAAACTTAAAAAACTGTGCTGTGAACTGTGAACTGCAAAAACCATCGTGGATCGTGGCGATGGCGTAACGTCGGTTTCCAATTTTTCATAGGTATTTCATACATGTCCTTATATAAAATAAAGTTTCTTGTATGCAACACACTGTATTTTATTTATAGAATTAAAAGAAAATAATAATAAATTTGAATAAACATTATTTGGCGATATAATTCCGGAAAAAGCCGAACCGCTCCGAAATTTTCAAAGCTTTGGGTCGCGACCGTTGCGCGTCGCAAGAATAGCGCCAAATAGTGTTTACATTGGACTTATGGGCACTTTCCAATCTAAACTTGTTTCATTTATCTATGGTTTCTACAGTGACGCTTTACAAAACCTATTTTTTTATGTTTTAAAATTCTGTCTCAGTGAAGAAATACGCAGGATTGTTTTCAAGAAATATGCTACTATGCTACAAAAGTATAACAATTATTTAGAAAAATGTATACCTAAAATCTGAATCCGCCGCCATAATTCTGTAATGATTGGCAAAACTATCGATCCTAACAGGTCTTGAAGTTTCGATTACCGAATCAGGAATGGACATGTTATCGTTGGTCCTGGATTCAACCATGCCCTTCCTGCCGGCTGAGCGTCTTTTCCTTATGACGATGATCATGACGAACAGGAAACAGATCAAAATGATAGGTATTACAACACCTAAGATGATGGGTGTATTATCTTGATCTATGAAAAAATGTAAATAACAATTAATTCTTTGTTAAATTCTCTGTGAATACACAAACATTGAATTTCTAATGCCGTATGATCGAGAAAAAACGGCGTCAACGATGGCTATGAAATGAAGATCGCTGTCATTTTATACGTAAATTTATATAGGAAATGTCATCGATCGTCATTTCCCAGCCAACTGGACGCCATTTTTTTTCGATCATACGGTATAATAATTTTAGAGTATCAATAACAATAATAATTTATGTGCTGAACTTTATTCCGGAAACTTCGGCAGCATATTCTGCAAATAAAAATAAGAAAAAAGTTCGTATAAATGTCCTACAATGCTTAGTTTCGGAGATACAGGGAACAGGGTGTAGAAAGTTTCATTTTTATTTCGATTTTTTCCAAATAATTTCTGAAGTAACGTCAATATTTGGATGAAAATTGGTGTCTGGAAGTTTTTTGACATGAGAAATTTGATTTTGATGTCAATTTGACTCATGTATGTATGTAGGGGGCGCCACCTACATACATGTGCTTTAACTGTCTTGAAGAATAATAACTTTTCGTCCATACCTGTATAAAACTACCGAGTGAAAAATATACATTTGCGTGATTGTCTACGTAAAAAATGTTTCTTGGTAAAAATCGCTACGAGCAACCGTTCTCGAGATATTTAAAAGGAAATAGTTAATACATGCCATTACTGACATAAAAGAAACATGTTGAGTAGATAGTTATTTGAGTGAAATGATAAATTTAGGAAGTTTTTATTTTTTTAAATTAATCATAAACTTTTCTTCAAAAAAATGATGATAAAAGAGTTTCTGTTGAACTTTTGGCACAAAAACATTTCAAATCTATGATTTCACTCTGATACCTATTTAGTCAACATGTTTAATTTATGTCAATGATGACAGGTATTGATAATTTCGATTCCAAATATCTCGAGAACTCGTAGCGATTACAAATTAAAAATATATATTTTTTCACTCGGTAGTTTTATATAGTTTTATACAGGTACGGACGAAAAGTTATTACTCTTTAAACAGTTAAAATACACGTAAGTGGCGCCCCCTACAAATAGGAGTCACATTGACATCAAAATCCAAATTTCTCATGTAAAAAAACTCCCATACACCAATTTTCACGCAAATTATTTGGAAAAAATCTAAATAAAAATGAAACTTCTACACCCTGTATCTCCGAAACTAAGCATTTTAGGACATACATTATACGAACTTTTTTACTTATTTTTATCTGCAGAATATGCTGCCGAAGTTTCCGGAATACAGTTCGGACCACCCTATATAATACAGCCTTGGTCATCCTAAATCCGTGGTTTCGATTTTAACGTGTAAGAAAATGATGGAGATACTCTAATGGAAATTCTAACGTGTTAAAGAGAGATAAAGAATGGTCTGATATATTTCTTATATGCTGTAATACCGGTTTCCGTCTATTATAAACTGTCAACGGTTTCAACACAACGGGTGTTCTTTAATAATTGTATTTATAGTTTTGTCTCTGTTTTTTTGCTTCTGACGACGGAAGGAGATATATCTCCTGCAAAATAAAGCATTTTTGTCGGTTAGGTAAATTTGTTTTACTAGTAAAGAAGCACTGACAAGGTGGCTTCCGTTTGTGTTTACAAAAAACAAATTTATAATTTGTAAATTTTGTAATAGATTTGGTAAAAAATACATTTTTCTTAAGAGATAAAACGATTATATTATCTTTGCCGATATATGTATTTGAATATGGTGATATATAGTCTGTCCAACGATAGAATTCTGTCAATGACAGTTGTTATCGTAATTTGAAGGTAAATTGTTTTTCTGTGAATTTTTGAGTATCACCTATCAAAATGGTCTCTCCTATCACTAGACATACTTTTAATAAATACTGATTTGTTGTTTATGACTGACGAAATCTAATGAATTGCATATTCTGATATATACTTAGAAATTAAAGATATCTACCTTCTAATCTTAAGAGTCCTTGGAAGCAATAAGAAAAAAGATATAATATGAATAAGAAATACAATTTTCTTTATAAACATTTTTTACTTACCTGTTTGTATTGGAAAACTGTAACTGGTGTCAGTAAATTTGTCTGGAGCTGTAAAAGCTCTAATTTTTACTTTGTATGTAGATCCAGATTTCAAAGGCCCATTACAATAACCAACTTGTCTATAACAAAATATTTTACAAATTTAACAAAGTCAAGTTGGCCTGAAAATTGTTTAGCAACGCTAGAAAACAATTTAAACAGACAAAAACACAATTTTGATGAATTTGATGATGTGTGTACCGTCACAATACGATGATAGAAGTTATGTAAGAACTATAGTTGAAACAGATAGGTACTCCTATAAAAATTACTACTGGTTGTTTGAAGTCGATTAATAAATAACGATATGAGTTAATTTAAATGCTATACCCATAGACAAACTAACAAAAGCAAGACGCGTCAACGCTGTACTGCAAAACGGTAACAAGTTTGATAAGAGTTTATTACCGCGCTTGCGTCAACTGGCCTTTTAGACGAGGACGGTTTACTTATGGATTGTGTATTTTGTAGTAGCCTTTTAGACAAGGATGTTTAATTAAAAGCGTTTATTAAAATCAAATAAATTTATTTCCATCGCTAAAATAAACAATAATTTCTGGACATAACAGATATAAAAACAAAAGTTAAATAAACGAAAACGTATTCCTCTTATTAAAATAACAAAAAGATGATAAAAAACAACAGTTATGGTAAACGAAATAAAAGCATTATTCTTCAAAAGGTACAAAAAAATAATTATGTATATTATAATATTAATAATAGGAACAACAAGAAACATCTTAAAAAATATACAACTTTTTCAAATATAAAACAAAAACATAAACTTCACATTTTCACAAGAATTTGCAAAAATATTAACATTTCGAGTCTATTATAAAATATAAAGCACGAAAATTCAAATCATAAAAGATTAAAAAGATAAAGATTCTTATAACTTACAGTGAATTTGTAGGACCTTCGTTTTGTCTACGTTAGCGATGTAATCACAATAATATGTATAATCACAGTAATTATTATGTTCTTCATAAATGTAAAATGTATTAAATTATTTGTTTTCGTTTTGTACGCTAATAAAATAATAGTAATAACCTAACAAAACGCAAAATCAGGAATTCAACAGTTCGTTCAAGGATGGTTCAAGGCAAAAACATTTTTTGTTTTATTTAGGTTAGGTTTGACGAGTGCGACTGCGCGATGATTTCTGACTCAACTGGCCAGCGCAAAAACAATAATTCGACTTCGTCAATCCTTTGAAAAGTCTTGCTTTTGTTAGTTTGTCTATGGCTATACCTGTGTAAGATCTAAATTACCTTATATCGCACGTCTCAGACCCAACTGTAAAATCTTCTACAGAGCTATTGAAAAACGGATAATAAGGTTCCATAACTTGATATGGAGGCCAAACTGAGTAGGCTTGAACATCTCTCCAACTAGGCATCTCCAGACCCGATGCGTTTTTAGAGTCATCTTCTGCCACAATTATCGCGTAAGACATAATCTATAAATGCATTAAAATAAAATTAAACAAAATGACAAAAAATATAAACTTACTGGTCCATGCGCTTCGCTGAAATAGTTCTTCCTAAATCTAATTTGGATAGAAGTTGAACTCTTACATACTTCTGTGGGCACGACTTGCATACTGGGCTTGGGAGGTGCTAGGATTGGCATTTTTTCTTTCCATATTGTTTCCGGTCCGAAACCAATCTACAAATTTAGCATAGCTCTTAATCAGGAGGGTTAAACTAGACTTCTTCTATTTTCAATTATACCGGGTGCGTCTCAAAAGTGGCTCACCCCTATAACTTTTTTATTGTTTCAGATAAAACAACGAGATTTGGTATGTTAGTATATGACATAAATTGGGATTGATTGACCTATTCAATTGTTTTCGGCCACTTCCGGTTTCACCGGAAATGACTAAAACTTTTGACTATTAAATGGCACCCTCGGTATTTTTTTACTTTATTCGATAGAAAATGACACTCTGAATCAAATGACATATCATATGTCAATTTTTGACATAGTCACTCAAAAACAAATTTTATTTTAAATTTCAATCTAGAGTGCCATGGCTATGTTAAAAACACTAATTTTTAATCAAGGAGCCTTGGAAAAATAGATTTGATCGTCTAATGTTTTTAGTGTCTTGTCCTGGCCGGTTAAAAGATGCCCAAATCGTATTTTTAATCATATCTCAATTTTTTCAACTAAAACGAATGAAACGTTATGAACCGCATGTTACAATTTCAAATAAACCATATGCGAAAATGTCAAAAGTTGACATATGATATGTCATTGGATTCAGAGTGTCATTTTCTATCGAATAAAGTAAAAAAATACCTAGGGTGTCATTTAAAAATCAAAAGTTGTAATCATTTCCGGTGAAACCGGAAGTGACCGAAAACAATTGAATACGTCAATCAATCCCAATTTATTTCATATACTAACATGCCAAATTTCGTTGTTTTATCTGAAAAAATAAAAAAGTTATAGGGGGTGAGCCACTTTTGAGACGCACCCGGTATATGTTCAATGAAAAATAAAAATATACAGGGTGCTGCAACAGCGCGTCGATCATCTATTAATGATAATCGATCCTAAAATAAAGAACTTATGAATTGCCCGAAAATATGTTCACTTGTACAGGGTATCTCAAAAGAGTGTGAGTGGGTGAGAGATGTTTTTTTTAAGGAGCACCCTGTATACTATTGCGTTTTTGGGTGCCATCCTGATCACTTTACATAATCCTAGGTTATTACATTTTATTTATAGTTTATTACAATATATACATAGTTACAGAAAAATAAATTTATAAATAAAATAATCTATTTGAATCTAAAAACCGGGTGCGTCTCAAAAGTGGCTAACCCCTATAACTTTTTTTATTTTTTCAGATAAAAATCAGATTTGGTATGTTAGTATATGACATAGATTAGGATTGATTGAGTATTCAATTCTTTTCGGTCACTTCCTGTTTCACTGGGAAATAACTACAACTTTTGATTTTAAAATGGCACCCTCGGTATTTTTTTATATAAATATATACATTCTGAATAGAATGACATATCATATATCAACTTTTGACATTTTCGTATATGGTTTATTTGAAAATAATATATCTTATATTAAATATACCAAGTGTGTGGTACCAAATTATTCGTAAAAAAGTGCTTTTCCAAATATGCTAATAAGCCACCTTCGTTTAGTTACGTAATCGAGAATGCTATTTTTAAATTCATTTTTACCAACAATGACAACATATTCGTCGCCGACCTGACTGACTGGAATTTAAATTTCCCGCTGAGAATTCAGGTGGTAAGCTCTGCTGTAAAAATGTCAAGTTGCCACAATTATTTATTTATTTCCTGGCATTGTCATTCGTTTTGACACTTTAGGTTTGTATTTTTGTTAGCATAGATAAATGAAATAAATTTAGATTGGAAAGCCCGTCAAAATATATAATTGATTTGGGTCGAGATCGTTGTACGCGATCTGGCGCTGCTATAGTCGTTGCTATAAACAACCGCCCCCCAAACATTAACAGAAATAATTTTCTCTTGTCAAAGTCAGAATGTTCAAAAATTATAAAATCTTTCAAAATTTAAACCGCCCTCATTGAAAACATACCGAAAAGTGTTTAAAGCGTCTATTTTCAAGGTAATTATTGCTATATTGTGAGTTAATTTAAATTCTATTTACTCAAACCCGTGATAATTGTGAAAAAATGGCATTAAAAACTTAAAAAGCTGTGTTGTGAACTGCAAAAACCATCGTGGATCGTGGAATAACGTCGGTTTCCAATGTTTCATAGGTATTTCATACATGTCCTTATATAAAATAAAGTTTCTTGAATGCAACACACTGTATTTTATTTATTAAAAGAAAATAATAATAAATTTAAATAAATAATGTTCGGTGATATAATTCCGATGTAAAGTCTATGTAATGAGAGGATACAATATAACAGTGACAGTAGTTTGACACTATTTTAATTCAGAGATAAAGTGTCATTTTTGGATGGCGTTTGTCGAAATCATCACTGACTCATTGGACACACTTTATATAACTACATAATAGTATTTAAATAGTTCAAATATTCCATACCTTTGTCTCGGCTTGGATTTTAAAAAGGTACGTCTTTCCAGGTAGTAATTTTGCGATGGTACCCCTGAATTCATACGGCGAAAAATCCCTATGCAGTACATGTGACGAACCCTACAAATCAATTATAAAACATTATTTTTTTTTCTCAAATAACTGTATAACTAGTGCCATACTTCTAGTCCATATGTAATAGTAAACTTTCTAATTATTCCGTTCTGTTCAGAGGTGGGTAATGACCATTCAAACACAATATCACTGGGCTGAATATCAACAGGTTCGAACTTTTCAACCTTGCCAGGAACCGATTCTTTGGTTGTAAAACTCTCAGAGACAGGAAGGGATCTAAATAATAAAAAATAAATTCAAAATATAATTTACAAATGAATAAAAAATAAATAAAATCACTAACCGTCTTAGTATGCTTGACTCGGTTCCACTTCTAACAATCACAGTAAATGTGTAATTTCTATGGGGTTTCAAGTCATTGATGGCTATTGAAGTATGTAAAGTTAAGTTTTGTATGAATGCCCCTTCGGAATTGATGTATTGCACCTCAAATTCGTTATATTCTCCTCTCGGGAAAGCCCAAGTCAGTGTCACATCTGAATCAGATATGTATGTCGCATTGATACCAGTTATAGGTTCAGGATCTGAAATATTATTAGATGCAATAGTATATAATAAAAAAATAAAGAAAATACATAATAAAATAAACATTTATTAATTTTCTAAGCATGCAGTGTAATGGAAGGAAAATATAAATAAAAAATTAAGAATCAAAATTATTTATATTACTTTTTATTACTTTATATTACTATTTAAAAATAATATTTACTTTTACTGGCATTTACTTCAAAAAATAAATGAAATATTTCTTTGCAAAAAACTACATGTAAGAGAATTGGCATAAACAAAATACAAATATTGTTAACTTCTTTTTAAATTGGGATGTGTAAAACTTTCAATTTAATTTTCTGACCCCAAAATTTGAGTTCGATAACCACATTACTTAAATATGATTATTACATAAGTTCAACTAATTCTAAAAGTAAATAACTGAAAGATCGGGTTACGGAAAATCACAAATTTTTGAAAAAATTTTGACCACCTGCACACGCACACAATCGTCAATTTAAAAAAAACCTACTATTTTAGTATTTTAAATATTTTAATAAACGCAAAAATAGCACAGTATTTACAAGGCGAAATTATAAAAATTTGGAAGAACTAATAATGTACTGACGTACACAAAAATCAAATGAATTACTAAATATTTCATTTATCAATTATATTTTAGTCGCACGGCGAGGTTGTCACATATGCTTTAGTATACAAGTGAATGAATGATTTTATTCGAATAAAACCATTTGATAATTGGAATGATTCATTTTTTCCAAACATGCTAATGAGCCACCCTCGTTCCATTTGAAACAAACTGAGATATGATTAAAAATACGATTTTGGCATCTTTTAACTGATAACATATACCTGGTGTGCCTCAAAAGAGGTTCACCCCTATGAATTTTTTATTTTTCAAATAAAAAATCGAGATTTGGTATGTTAGTATATATGACAAAAATTAGGATTGATTGACGTATTCAGTTGTTTTCTGTCACTTCCTGTTTCACCGGAAATGACTACAACTTTTGATTTTTAAATGACACCCTCGGTATTGTTTTATTTTAATCGATAGAAAATGACACGCTGAATAGAATGACGCATGTATAATATGTCAACTTTTGACATTTTCTAATATGGTTTATTTAAAATTGTAACATGCGGTTCATAACGATAATTTGACTCGAAATACCAAGTGTGTGGTACCAAATTTTTAGTAAAAAAATGCTTTTTTATGAATGAGCCACCCTCGTTCCATTTGAAAAAACTGAGATATGATTAAAAATACAATTTGGGCATCTTTTAACTGACCAGAACAAGACAGGAAAAACATTGGACAATCAAATCTATTTTTCCAAGGATCCTTAAACAAAAATTAGTATATTTAACAACATCCATATATTTTTTTCTCAATGCAATGATGCAAATTCAGTTCGTTCTTAGCCAGTTATTGTTTCCAATTTCCAGCCTTGTCCGTACTTTATATTATCTAACTGTTTTCTTACCTCGGTCTGGTAGAAATGGCAACATCCGTCGTCCCCGCGCGCCGGACACATGGGCGTAGAGCGCGGATTTTCGCGAAAGATCCGATTATTGCCCATTACCGTTTAATCGCTATAATTAGGGTGGTAGGGGGCGCTGCTCGGCAGCCGGAAATGCCGCCGCGTTGTCCATTATTTTTTCCTTCATTCTTCAAAAGGAAAAGCACGTCGCGCTTAATGGCAGAGGCTGGTATGTATATCGATTTAGTGGGATCAATAAAATGTCAATGATACTTATAGTAAATGAAGTGGAATTATACAGGGGTGTATGTATGTAACGATGACTTATGAGTTCAGAATGGGGCGCCCATTAATTAAGAGAGGCGTTTTTGAGTATTTTTAAACCTGCTCTTTCCCCCTGGTAGTGTCAAATGTCAAAATTACCTCTCATCTTTAGTTTACTTAAAGCATAGATAAAGGAAACAAGTTTAGATTGGAATGCTCGGCTTGCCGCCAAAACTTATAATTGTTTTAAAGCGCATACGTTGAAGGGCGCTGTTATAGCGGTTGCTAAGAACAACCGCCAAACAAGAACATAAATAATTTTCTCTTGTCAAAGTCAGAATCTTCAAAAATTGTTAAAAACAACCATGGCACTCTAGATTGAAATTTAAAATACGATTTTTTTTAAAGCGAGAATGTCAAAGTTGACATATGATATGTCATTTTATTCAGAGTGTCATTTTCTATCGAATAAAGTAAAAAAATACCGAGGGTGTCATTTAAAAATCAAAAGTTGCAGCCATTTCCGGTGAAAGAGACCAAAAACAATTGAATACGTCAATCAATCCTAATTTATGCTATTATCCTAAAATCTTGTTTTTTATCTGAAAAAAAAATTTAGTGGTGAGCCACTTTCGGGACGCATCCGGTATACTTTCATAAATTAATAAAAACTCTCATTCACTGATCAAAATATGTTTAACTATTATATGGCGTACTTACACAATCTATCCTGTCTTTGCAACGGTTGACTAGTTACTCCTTGAGACACAGTCCAAACGGTAATATTGTACAATCTAGAATATACAAAAACAACAACACATTTCAATGTAATCGTATAAATGTCTTAGAAAATATTTTTTACTAACTCACTTAAATAAATTTTTATTTTTAATTTATGTGACTACGAAAATAATACCATATTCAATTTTCCTTAAATGTATAAAACAAACACTTATTCTTATTAGTCGTGAGCAATTTCACGTAATTGTTTGTGGTTTTTGTTAATGCTCATTAGCATTAGAAAGGATTCACCAATATAAAACACTCTAGAAATATTTTATTACTTTCAAGTTGTAAAGCGACAAAACAGAGAAAAAAACATATTAGTAAACTTCTATAAATAACTTAAAATGTTCAATATTAATGTAATACACAGGGTAGTTAGTTAGGTTAGTTACTAAACTTATTGATTCAAAATTACTGTTTTAATTTATTGCAAATAGCGTTTTACGACTTTTGCAAAAAAATAAAAAAGTAATGCTGATTCTATACAGGGTGCCTTGGCTCATTCGCCTTGGTTGATTTAACGAAAACAGAAAGATGTAGAAACAAAATCTTTTATGGGTATATGTGGGAGGCAATGTGCACAATTTAAAATTATTTTGAAATATACAGGGTGTTTCAGAACTAAGATCCATACTAAAGTTATATTTGTTCTTATGGAACACCATGAAAATCCATTAGATATGCAAGCTTTGAAAAAGTGATATGTCCATTTTTTATGTAAATTTAGTATTTCAAAATTTGATATAGGGTGTTTCAAAAAATGTGGCATCTCTCGTAGGGAGATTCCTCGCGTAAAAATTAGACTTATTTTTGTATCAACAAATTCAATTTAAAAAACAGTTCTGCTTTATTTCATAGCTACAGAGTGTCAAGATCTTATTTTTTTATGATTTATTATAATTTTCTTCCAAGTGCTTTTAGCGGTTTGAATGAAATTTTGAGAGTAAAAGTTACTATAAGTGCATCATATTTTACTGCTAAAATTGCATCACTGTGCATATGGGTTATCACTGGAACATTTAAAAAAAACATGTGCGCCACTGACTTTTTCTCTTGTTAGCAAAATTTTGTAATTATCTTAAATACCTTTATTTTTTTTGGAATTTGCTATAGTTAGCACTAAACATCAGTGATATAATTAAAAAAATATAAATAAATGATTTATTAATCTTATTTTTAATGTAATTTTATTAAGCTTGATTAATACCGTATGACCGAGAAAAAATGGCGTCAGCGATGGCTATGAAATGAAGATCGCTGTCATTTTGTATGTAAATTTATATGGTAAATGTCGTCGATCTTCATTTCATAGCCATCGCTGACGCCGTTTTTTTTTCGATCATACGGCATATACGTGGTGGCGCACCTCATTCGCCTCGATTGATTATATACCAGCAATTTTTGATACCCCTGTATAAATTAAACAAAGCAATCAAATTTTTCAGTAAAGTTTATTTCTTCGACTTAAAAGTCAGCAGAAGAATTAATTCTGAAAAGCAATGTACAATATGTTGACAATCTTTTTTATGATACCATGCATATTTAAATATCTCAAAAACCAAAGCTTGTAAACATATTTTAGCCTTATAATAAATGCATTATTTTGTGTCCACGGACCCAAATACGAAATAAAGTACCGGGTGTTCCATAAGAAAAAATATAACTTTGGTGTGGATCTTAGTTCTGACATACCCTTTACATTTGAAAACAATTTTAAATTATGCACATTGCCTTCCCACATATACCCATAAAATATTTTGTTTCTACATCTTTCCGTTTTCGTATAATCAACTGAGGCGCATAGGTGCGCCACCCTTTATACAGGGTGGTTCGAACATATTCTGCAGATAAAAATAAGCAAATTAATTTGTATAAATGTATGCCTTAAAATAATTCGTTGCAAGGATACAGGATGTAAAATTTTCATGTTCATTTAAGTTTTTTTCCAAATAATTTGGAAACAATTAACAAAAACCAAACGTCGATATTTGGTTGTGTCAACATTGTTGAAATTATTGTATCTATAGTCCGTCTAGAAAGTATCCGGAAAAAAGAAAGCAAAATTACAATTATCGATATACATTTTTGGAGGACCTGAGTTAAAAAAATTATAACAAATTATTAATTTTATTTACTTATACAACCTCCATTTAACTCCAAACACTTAACTAAACGTTAAAACTGAGCGAATCAAATCTTGTTTATATCGCAGAGCTGCTCGTTCCACTTCAATCTTCATTAGTTCCCATATGTTTTCAATGGGACTAAGGTCTGGTGAAGCTGCTGGCTATTGAATTGTTGCCAAATGGTGTTCTTGCAGACACCAAATGGTGATAGGCAGACGTATGGCATCTTGCATTATCTTGCTGAAAACGCCACCCCTCTGGATATAAAACATGAGCCGTTTCAAGAAGAAAACCATTTAAAATATCACAATATTTTGCACTAATAACAGATCCATCAACTATATACAGAGATGTAGCACCATGCTAAGATATTGCTCCCCAAACCATTATTTTAGTGGGAGATTTTGAAACTTGAACAGTAACATTTTCTTTTGATAGGATTTTTAGGTGGTTTCCACCAAGCTCGAAACAACTTTCGTCAGAAATAAAAACATTATTAAAATTATCTTCTTGAAAACGTTGACAAAAATCCATTCTTCGCTGCCTATGTAGAGGTGTTATTGCAGGTTTTTTTTTGGGTTTCCTTGATACTTATGTAGCCTTTTCAGTGACATGCGGATGGTTTCTGGACTAACTTTTAATTTTCGCTGACTTCCAAGTCTGTTAGCCAATTTGCGAAATCCTAGGCGTGGATTCTGTCGTCCTAATGCCACTAAAGCGTTTAAATTGTTTTTGCGAATCTTACGCGGTCTGAAACTGGTTCATGCTTCATATCTGTGCCATTTTTATCCTCTTTATTGTCTCACATACTGCACTTTTTCCTAGTTCAGTCAATTGCACTAATTTTTTAACGTTTCGAACACCTTTTCTATACATGTATTCCACCATTTCTTTTTTTTTACTTGCGACATTATTTCTCAAATCTTAAGCCGGTTTACAATCAACAATATTTGACAGATGGTGTTGCCATGCGATTTTGGTCATAACCTACTATCGGCACAACCTACGTGATGGATTACTGTTGTCTTAGAGTGTTACAGAAAAAAAAATACATTAAAATTAGGAAAAATATAAAATTCCGGATACTTTCTAGACGGACTATATTAAGGATAAAAGAAGTACCACCACTAGTACTTTCTACCGTAATGGAAAGTACCCTTTCAGGGCTGTTTTTTACACTTTACTGAAATTTTACACGATCGCCATTCGCTTTGGCATTAAAATGTAATGTGTAAGAGTACCAAATTTCAAAATCTTAAAGATCTTAAAAATAAACAAAATATATTATTTTTATTTAAGCTTTCGAGGGCTGTAACTTCTTCTGGAAGCATTTTAACGGCATATGTTCATAGAAACTCTTTGTTTTGTTTTTATCTGTAGAATAACCCACCGAAGTTAGATACACTATTTTTTTCTCTCCAAAAAAATCCTTTATGGGTATTTCGCCACTGCACTGCAAGAAAATCTACAAAATAAAATAGTTATTTTTTGTAAACACATCTGCGTTAAACCTAAACGGACACTGCTTGTCAGAAGTTATGTTTACAGTTATACAAATTTGCCTAAACAGAAAAAAATGCTTAACGTTTCGGAAAGTTTCTCTCTTTCCGTCGTCGGAAGCAAAAAAATACAAAGAAAGAAGAAAAAAACTATTTAAAATATTTAAATTCAACTATTCTATTATTATTTTCTGTAGATGTCAGTAATGTATGGCAATCGCTTCTTTGATTTTAAAGAACATAACATAAATAAACATAACATACGTAAAATTTAAAAATAATCATACAGAAAGTTTGGTTTTTTGGTTTTACCTTATTAAGTAATTGTTATCAGGTAGTAATAATTTTGAAGTTTAACTTGATATAATGTCATTTTAACAGAACGTCAACAGTTTCTTGTAGACCATAAAACATCCCCCTTTAGAACTTTTTCTTTAATGGCCATAAGCGGGAGTAAAAGACTAACCGCCCGAACAAACACTAGAGGCGCCACCGGTCATCAAATGGTGTAAAAATTGCAAAAATTTAATCATCTAATTTTGACACAAGGGGTCGCGCTTAACTTTTTCAATTTTAATTCAATTTTCATTGTTTTCAAACTATATTATCAGACTCTGTTGTATTTTGTGAATGTATAAATGTTTTCTTACTATAAAGTTGCATTATAGTAATTTAAATTATATTACATACATATTTAAGATTCAAATATTATGACATATATGTCAGTTGCCGTCTAAAATGTCATCTTGATAAAAAGTTATTGTCAAAAGTAGTTAAAATCATGTTAAAATATTAAAATTTACAAGTTATATAATTAGATATATATTTTATATTATTTCAACAACAAACATATAATATACAGCGTAATGTTGATATGCAGGTCTGAAACAAAAAGTGCCGTTATATTTTTCAGTTTTCGTTGTCAGCCGCGGAAGTTTCAGTGATTTTATTGTTGTCGGATATTTTTATTTGTGAAATAGAAATATTGCGTTTGGATTGCAAAACTAAAAGTGGAAGTTTTATTGCAATGTAAGTAAGCGTTTGTCCATTTCATATTTTACTTTTTTCATACCTACGACAAATATACAAATATTGAAATTTTATAATTCGTTTTATTTAAAAAAATGTTAGAAAACAAGCTTGTAATCCTGTAATTGACATAATTGTTATGTAATATATTCCATTTAAATGTAATATATTCCATTTAAATGTAATATATTACTTTTCAATTAAGAAAATGTAAATTTAAAAAATATATTAAAAATATATACAGGCATTAATTGAAATTTTTTGAGTGCGAACAAACACGAGAGGCGCTTTATTATTTACTTTAATTTCTTAACATGATAGACGAAGTTCTAAAGGGGATGTTTTGTGTTGTAGACGTATCTGTTTTAAAAAAGTAAAGTGTTCTCGAATAGTTGAATTTAAATATTTTAAATAGTTTTTTCTTCTTTCTTTGTATTTTTTTTGCTTCCGACGACGGAAAGAGATAACCTTTCCGAAACGATAAGCATTTTTTTCTTTGTTAAGCAAATTTGTATAACTGTAAACATAACTTCTGACAAGCAGTGTCCGTTTAGGTTTAACGCAGAAGTGTTTACAAAAAATAACTATTTTATTTTGTAGACTTTCTTGCAGTGCAGTGGCGAAATACCCATAAAGGATTTTTTTGGAGAGACAAATCCGCCACATAGGTATAGACATTTTTACACTATTTTTTTGACGCCCTGTATAGATATAAAATAAAATATTATGTATCTCTATTCCAACTAGAAGTATACAAATGTGACAACTAATTTAGGACGAGGGAGTATAATATTTCACTTACCTGCCTGGGATTAAACCAGTAAACGTTACTAATCTCTCTGAATCATTGGCTGCTTTTTCCTGATCGGGAATATTAGTCTCAGATAAAGAAAACCTGTATAAGTCGAATTTTGAAGAAGTTTGTGGCGTGGGAGTATATCTTAAACTTATAGAATCCGTAGACTGGTGATTGTTCACTACCACGACTTCGGATTGTATGAGAGGCACTAAAATAACAAAAAGAAAAACAAACTAGTAGTTTAGGAGAATAATACAACACAAACAAAAGAATAACTTAAAATATACGGCAAGTGTAATTAGAAAAAAATGCATATTTTTTATGATTCACTTGTTATTTATATGATACACCGTGTTGCCAAATTGTCGTATATTTCTCCAAAGAAAAAGGAATTAAATTTTAGCTTGATTTTATATTTTTTAAATAGAAGGTTTCTTAATTACTGGGTGATTTAAATATATTTTTAAAGATGTATTTTTAACTACATACGTAGATGGCATTCAAAATTAAGAAGATTGGGGGAAGAAAAGGCGTGAAAACTTATTTCGATTTTTAGAGAACTTAATGGTACTCCTCCGAGTTGTATCACAAAATAATAAGTTTAAATGATTGGGTACCATGTTTTTTGTTCGTTTTGTTATCAGATTTATGTCCTTCTTTTTATATTATAATGAGTTGAACGATTTGTTTTCTAGACTGACAGACAACATTAGATTGAGGTAATTTATTTATTTTTATTTTTTTTATTTCTTTGAGAGTTTATTTTATTAAATAGTTAAAAGAAAAAGTTTTTGTTTTTTACGAAAAAAAACCTCCTACACACCAAACCTGTTTAAAAATGAGTTTGAAACGAATGACGTTTGCATCCAAAACGTTTGAAACAAACATTTGAAAGGGGTAACGGTGTTTTAAACACGTGTAAAGCACTTGTTTTTGAACAAAAAATACCAAGTGCGTCTCAAAAGTGGCACACTCCTATAACTTTTTTATTCCTTTCAGAGAAAAAAACGATATGTGGTATGTTAGTTGATATGACATATATTAGGAGCGATTGACGTATTCAATTGCTTTTGGCTACTTCCAGTTTCGCCGGATATTACTACAACTTATGATTTTTAAATGACACCCTCGGTATGTTTTTATTTTATTCGATAGAAAATGACACTCTAGAGAATGACATAACATATGTCAACTTTTAATATTTTTGCTTAAAAAATCATATTTTAAATTTCAATATAGAGTGCCATTGCTGTTTTAAAAACACTAATTTTTAATCAAGGTTTTTCGTGTCTTGTCCTGGCCGGTTAAAAAACGTCCAAATCGTATTTTTAATCATATCTCGTTTTTTCAAACGAAACAAGGGTGGCTCATTAGCATATTTGGAAAAAACATTTGTTTACAAATAATTTGGTACCACACACTTGGTATTTCGAGTTAAATTGTCGTTATAAATCGCATGTTACAATTTCAAATAAACCATATGTGAAAATGTCAAAAGTTAACATATGATATGTCATTCTATTCAGGATATCATTTTCTATGGAATAAAGTGAAAAAATACCGAGAGTGTCATTTAAAAATGAAAAGTTTTAATCATTTCCGGTGAAACAGGAAGTGACCAAAAACAACTGACTGAGTCAATGAATCCTAATTTTATGTCATATACTAAACATACCAAATCTCGTTTTTTATCTGAAAAAATAAAAAAGTTATAGGGGGTGAGCCACTTTTGAGACGCACTAAGTATGTTGTATATTAAGCGTTAAAAAATTGTCAAAATATTTGTTTTAGAAAATTATAAAAAGGTTTAAAAATACAAATCTATTTTCAAGAAAGATTTTTAACATTTTCCCATTAAAATATTAATTTTCTATGCTAAATTTTAATAATAAATAGTAAAATAGTATTCACAGATTGGTCTGAAAAAAAAAATATTACCGATTATTATCTATTTAGAGGATACTGCGCCGAACATGGTATTTTCCATCCATAAATTCACTAGTTGCCATTTGAAGGACACTGTGACGTCGATTTTCCAAATCAATTGTTAAGCTACTTCAAAATAAAACCAATACTAAACCTATACTTACTAGTTCTCGTCCTTAAAACGGTAACATCGCTTTCCAGGTCGTTGGATATTGCCTGTATGTCAAAAACATACTCTTCCCCAGGCATCAGATCTCCAACCAGTAACCTAACCAGTCCTGTACCATTTTGATTTTGACTTACTGTGCTTTTGTTAACTTGAGAAGGTGTAGTAGCCTCCCACCATCTGTAAATATTTCGTTTTCAATAAGAAGCCTTAGTAACATCATTTTTTTAAGAATTCTTTACCTCACAATGTAAGTTTCTACTCTTCCTTCTGGGCGAGGCCACTCTAAGGTTACATTATTGGAGTCGACTAGTGGAGCAATATTTGACACTGGATTTGGTCTGAAATTAAAATTTCCGCATTTGTATTGAGAACTTTTAAAATTCTAATATTTTTTATATTATTTATCAAACATCTTAAAGAAAAAAATATATAAACAGGTGTATTTACCTGTTTTATACCCTGTCGGCTTTTTATACCCTGTCGGCAACAGAGAGTCTTAGTTACATAACTACTTAATTAGGCGTTTTATTTCATGCGCTTGTGAAACTACTTGTTCTTCTCTCTTTGTTCAGTACATTTATTGTACTAAACACATTGACTGTACTCTGTACACAGGAAAATCGATACCAAAGCCAGGCGTTGCTGACAGTGTATAATTGTATAATTACAAAAATATTTGTTACTACAAATATACAGGGTGGTCCGAACTGTATTACGGAAACTTCGGCAGCATATTCTGCAGATAAAAATAAGTAAAAAAGTTCGTATAAATATATGTAAATAATTTCTGCAGTAACGTCAATATTTGGATGAAAATTGGTGTCTGAGAGGTTTTATATATGAGAAATTTGATTTTTATGTTAATATGATTCCTACTAGTAGAGGGCGCCACCTACGTATTTTTTAACTGGTTTGAAGAGTAGTAACTTTTCGTCCGTACCTGTATAAAACTACTCAGTAAAAAATTTACATTTACGACGTTTTTTACGTAAAAAATGTCTCTTGGTAAAAATCGCTACGGGTATTAGTTTTCGAGATATTTGGAATCGAAATTACAATACGTCATCATTGACATAAATTAAACATGTTGACTAAATAGTTATTAGACTGAGATCGTAAATTTGAAAATTTTGTGCCAAAAGTTCCACAGAAACTGTTTTATCATCATTTTTTTGCAGAAAAATTTGATTAATTTAAAAAAATAAAAATTTCCCAAATTTATTATTTCAGTGAAATAACTATCTACTCAACGTGTTTATTTTTCGTCAATAATGACATGTATTGAGTATTTCCATTTTAAATATCTTGAGAACAGTTGCTTGTAGCGATTTTTACAAAGATATATTTTTTATGTAAAAAGTCACAGAGATGTATATTTTTGCCCTCGGTAGTTTTATATAGGTACGGACAAAAAGTTATTAAGCTTCAAAACAGGTAAAACACATGTAGGTGGCGCCCTCTACCAGTAGGAGTCACATTGACATCAAAATCAAATTTCACATGTAAAAAAACTCCTAGACATCAATTTTCATCCAAATAACGTTACTTCAGAAATTATTTGGAAAAAATCGAAATAAAAATGAAATTTCTACACCCTGTACCTATCTCTGAAACTAAGCATTTTAGGACATACATTTATAGGACCTTTTTTTCTTATTTTTATATGCAGAATATGCTGCCGAAGTTTCCGGAATACAGTTCGGACCAACCTGTATGTTATTATAAAAATATATATGACAAAAAGGAATTAAATCATTTTGTGGTGAGAATCTGGGCAATATATGGAAATAATTTTACACCTTTTCTTATTACTGGCTTACCTTACTGTGTGATTTAATTGTTGTGGTTCATTACTTTCTAAGCCATAGCTGACAGTGTTAACTTGAATGGTGTATCTCTCTCCAGGAGTCATGTCCGTTACTTCTGCTTCAGTATTTTGAACAGCTGGCAATCTGTAACATAACAATTCCTAATTTAATACATATTGAATAAATTTATCACCGCCATACGTTTATCAATTCGTTAGAAAATACCGTATGACAATCGTCTTTTTTGGTGAATCACTTCACAAGTATACCGTGCTGGCAATTCTTACTTTTGGGTCGGTATTTACATGTGTGGAAGTAAATTGCACAGGGATCTTATTAAGTCGGAGTGAGAGAAATACGACGGTGTGCTGTTGCGGCGTTGCCACATTTCTCCGGTACGCCATTCCCTATCAAGTAAAGTAAAATCACGATCGCAAACCGCTTATTTTTAAAATAGTTTTTTTCGAAAAGCTAACTAGATAAAATCATTAGATACGTTTCTGAGCATCTAAAATGGAGTTATTAAGGATATCGTTAGGGTGTCCATTTTTTTATAACGAGAAAACGTCAGTAATCGCGATAAGTTAAAAACTCATTTTTTTATTTTGAAGTTCGGATCTTTTACAAGATGTTTAAATAAAGAAAAATTCGATAGGTTTGTTTTTTTCTATTCAAAAATTAAAAAAAAAACATCCATTTACTTTTAGTACGTAGCAAATTTTCAGCTGTCATGTAACTTTTTTATTTATAAAGATTTTCACATAGGTACCTACTGTTTGCGAAGAATTTTTTTTTATTATGATTTATTAGCAATCAGAATATTTGCATGGAAATTCTATGGGCTAATTTAATGAATTGAGAGCAATGACGCTCCAGTTAACGTGATGAGGTCTTCTCCAGTGAAAAATCCTCCTTAATATTCTTTCAAATCAGATGGCCATTGTCTTTTAAGTCATCTTGTAGGTACTGGTTCAAGTAGAGGCTGAAGTAAGGTATTGGTGTGATCGTGTAGTCTAATGAAATGTTTTTTACTCCGAGTTTGGATGACTTCTTTGACGTACGGAATTTTTAAATCTTCATGTATAGTGTGATTGGAGACATACCATGGTGCGTCTGTTATCATCCGTAGAATTTTAGATTGGCTCCTTTGTATTATGGCTATATTTGATTTACTAGCGCATCCCCAGAGTTCTGCTCAATATGTCCAAATAGGTATTATTATAGTTTTGTATAAAAGAAGTTTATTCTCTAGCGATAGTTTGGAACTTCTTCCCATTAACCAATATAAGTCTTTTATTTTTAAATCTATTTGCTTACGTTTCTTTACTATGTGTTCTTTCCAGGTAAGCTTAGTATCCAAGTGCATGCCTAAATACTTGGTAGAGGAAGACTGCGGAATTAGTGTGTTGTTTATGTTATTAACATTAGATGTCTTTGTAATATCAAGGAAGCTGTTTCCGGTTTTTTGTTGACAGCCATAATTACTGTGTCATCTGCAAAAGTAGCCGTTGTTGTTTCATTGTTTGTGGGAAAGTCTGCTGTAAAAAGGACATAAAGTAGTGGTCCTAAGACACTACCTTGTGGAACACCTGCATTTATGCTATAATTTTCAGATATATCCTCACCTATTCTGACTCTAAACACTCTACCATTTAGGTAGGATTCCAATATCGGAAAGTAGGACATGGGAAGATAATTTTTAATTTTGTAAAGTAGTCCTGTATGCCATACTTTGTCGAAAGCCTGACTAACATCAAGAAACACTGATGTGCAATACTTTTTGTCCTCAAGAGTTTGAGTTATATTACTGGTAATCCGAGTTATATTGCTGGTAATCCGTGTATAATCTCGAAACCCAAACTGGTGATGTGGTATTCAGTTTTCGGTTTTTGGATCTGAATTGATTCTATGAAGTATCAGTGTTTCAAGAATTTTGGAAACCAATGGTAGTAAACTAATAGGGCGATATGAGGAGACTCTGTTGAGTTTTGGGATCATTATAATTTCGGCTGTTTTCAGCGAACTCGGCCAGTAGTTCAATCTTATGATGGCATTAAATATATATGCGATAAGTACTAAGCCCTTCCTTGGTAGTTCTTTTAACATTTTTGACGTTATCTTATCCACTCCTGGTGCTTTACGAGGGTTTAGGTTGTTAATTTCGTGCTGAATTGCGAAGAAAATATAGCAGAAATATTAAGAAAGTTTTTGAAAAAAAACTACAATCAATTATTTCGAGATATCGATTTTTGAATTCAGGATTCTAATAGCTCGACCACTGTCGAACACCAACTAAATTCCACTTATTTTTACCAAAAGTGCTAGTGTTCCTAACTTGCACTTAAAAATTTACAAGCTATAGGGAAAATTACGACACGTTAATAAATAAGCAAATAAAGTATCACAAGACATAATTAATTCGTAAAACTGAACGGATGATGTACATCCTTCTCTAGAATTTTAGTACTGATTGACCGGTCGACCGCGACGAATCTGCTATATCCCTTTCCACGTCTCTTAGCAATGTGCACAATTTCTCGGTTTATTTCATACGTTTGGCAACGTGTTTACTGTTCTCTCTTTGTTCAGTACATTATAAACGCAATGTACTCTTCTTACATACGAAAATCTCGATCAAAGACTAACCTTTGTAACTTAACTTAGTATAGCCCTAGTCATCCTAAATCGGTAGTCTGAATTTTACCGTGCAATATAGTGATGGAGATGATGGAAACTTCAACATGTTAAAAACGGACAAAAAGTGTGCTGATACCCAGGGCCCAGGGGTGTCCCGCCGTTGGAATTACACGTACATTTTCTATGTTTTTTTAATAAAATTCTGGTATAAAATAACAAATTTAAATTATAAAGCTTAATACGAATCCTTACCTAACCCACTGGTTATCACTGCCCGTTTTATATCTGATAGAATACTCGGTTATAAGAGAATCCAACGGTGCTTGCCACTGAACAATAACCGAGTTTGTCGTCGTTTTTTCTATGGTCATATTTCTAGGTGGTTTTGGAACTATAAAAATAACATTTAAAATAAATTAGCGGACAGTTTAAATTAAAAAAAATACATAGAAGTTTTATTTATTAAATAGCTTTTTAACACACCTTCAATCTATCACTGGTCGAATATATAATTAAACGTAATAAAAATAAATTGAAAAAATTATATATGGTAGTAATGTATTATTAAATCTTTGCTTAAAATAGAATTAAGTTGTTTATTTAGACTATTCCCGAACTAGTTAAATAAAAAGTTCGCTTCTAGTTAATAAATGTTTAATTATATGTGCAGGGGTATAAACGAAAAAGTGTGAAAGAAATGGTTTACTTTGTTTATTACGATTTAAGCTGTAAAATACGTAAATAAAAATTAGTGGTAATATTTTTAAATCAACATATCCCAGTACAATATATGTTGCGTACAATAATAACATACCCAGTGACACAGTGTTTTGAAAAGGTCTATATCAGATTTCTGTTTTAAGATATTCACTCAATTTTTTTAATAAAATATGCGGTTAATAGCTAAGAACATTTTAAAAATATTTTTGTCATTGTATACCGGGTGCGTCTCAAAAGTGGCCCACCTCTATAACTTTTATATTTTTTTTCAGATAAAAACGAGAATTGATATGTTAGTATATGACATAAATTAGGATTGATTGACGTATTCAATTGTTTTTGGTCACTTCCTGTTTCACCGGAAATTATTACATCTTTTGATTTTAAATAACACCCTCGGTATTTTTTACTTTATCCGATGGAAAATAACACTCTGAATAGAATTACATATCATATGTCAACTTTTGACATTTTCGCATAATGGTTTATTTTTTAAATTGTAACATGCGGTTCATAACGACAATTTGACTCGAAATACCAAGTGTTTGGTACCAAATTATTCATACAAAAATGTTTTTTCCAAATATGCTAATGAGCTACCCTGGTTCCATTTGAAAAAAATGAGATATGATTTAAAATACGATCTTTTAACCGGATAAGATACGAAAAACATTAGACGATCAAATATATTTTTCCAAGGCTCCTTGATTAAAAATTAGTGTTTTTAACACAGCCACTCTAGATTGAAATTAAAAATACGATTTTTTTAAGCGAAAATGTCAAAAGTTGACATATCATATGTCATTCTATACAGAGTGTCATTTTCTATCGAATAAAGTAAAAAATGTCGAGGCTGCCATTTAAAAATCAAAAGTTGTAGTCATTTCCGGTGAAACAGGAAGTGACCAAAAACAATTGAATACGTCAATCAATACTAATCCTAATTTATGTCATATACTATACCAAATCTCGTGTTTTTATCTGAGAGATATCTATTCTTACTTAATAACAAAAAGATTAAACAAAAAGTCGGTTAATTTATGATAAGAAATACAGCGGGTTCCATTTGAATAAGCGAGTAATTTAGTTTAAAAATAGATATACTTCAAAAACCACACGGTATAGAATTTCATTTGAAAGTATACAACATTAATTTGAAAAAAAACATTATATTAACAAATATATTTTTAAAAATGCGCTACAACTGCCCGTATTTTTAGAAACATGATTGGAGCAAATAACGCAAGTGAAAAACCTGCTATAGAGCTTTTCCGGAACTCTGGACCAAAAAACAACAATGGTAAATATTTAACTATGACAAATAAAGAAAAAAACTTACACACTGGTTGGAAATACTCATGAGGCTCACTCTTAAGTTCGTGGGATATGGCGTAAATCTTTACTAAATAACCAGCTCCAGGATACAAATTACTAAGTATTATTTTGTTGTTATAAATTGTCATGTAGTCTCTATCGTTGGTATCGTTTCTGATCCAAACGATTTCATATTTGTCCTGTTTGGAATTGACATCTGATTTCCAACTAATATTTAAACCATCAACCTAGAAAATAATACAAAAATATAAGTTGCATATCTACATCTTTCTGAAAATAAAAAATAAAATATGATTTCTAAATTATAAAGTAAACTATTAAGTACGTAATAAGGTTATTAGGTAATAATTTTTAATTTTAAGACTGACTTCATGTAATATCATTTAACACCAACGGTTTATATTAAACCCATCTGCTAAATACTAAAAGTGTTGTTCTTTTGATATTTTGTGGGAGTTTTTCTGTGTTTACTTAGTTATTTGTAATTTAATTTGTGTTTAAAATGCCGTCCTGTTATAGTGAAACGAACAACGGCTCATATTAAAAGTTATCCAGTATTTCAAACTCGAAAAAGATGCTGGAAAACCCTTTTGCCTCTGACGGCTGTTTTCATGATGTATTCGACAACTACCGAGTTAATATTTTCTAACTAAATTGAAAATATTCACGTGTTTTATAGAGAGCATCGGAGGCTTTAGGAATTTCACGCTGCCGCTCGACCGTGCAAAGAATAAGTCCCAGAGGAATCATGAAGATCAAGAACAAAAAGCAGCAACAAGTCACAGAATTGGTTTGTCCCGTGGAATTCCTGCTTATAAGATACATGGACATATAATTAGAGCACGTATTTATTCAATGTATGCTGCAGGTAGGCTACAATACATTTATTATTATATATTACTCTATAGCAAAATAAAATTACACTAAATCACCACAACACACCAAAACACTTTTACTTTTACACTGGACGCGCGTTTCGCTAACCATGTTAGCATCATCAGCAGATGATTATAAACTATTGTAGTTTAGAGTTTATAATAATCTGCTGATGATGCTAACATGGTTAGCGAAACGCGTTGTGGTGATTTATTGTAATTTTATTTTGCTGTGTAACACCAAAGGTTCCAACCCTCAACTGTAATATTACTTTATAGTAGTACGTTTTGTACTCAAATGCTATTCTCTGCTTTTGGTTTATCAGATTAAGGGTTACAGCAAAGTCGGCCTGACGATGGAGATAAATCTCCGAAACCGGTCGTCGAATAGCTGTTCCCTTCAGTCTGATGAACTTGATGAGGAGAATAAGCATATATGTAGGGTTTTTTGGCCCCTTCTTCTGCTTCTTGTATTTTGTTTGTTTACATTTATTATTGTTTAATATTATATCTAATTTTTCACTGTATGAGATTATATAGGAGAACATATTACATTACAAGCTTTGCAAGCAAACCGTCAAAACATTGGTGGTGTGCAGTTTTGTCTCTGACTATGTTGGTTAAAGAGCATAAATATTTGCAGTTTAGATGGCAAAGTAGAGAAAATTCCAAATCAGATTTGGAGTAAGGAATCCCTGATTAATTTCTTATAAATAAATAAATAAATAAATGCCTTTATTGTCAAAAAATTTTTCAATTTGTAGACAAAGGTAAACTAACAAACAAAGTAGAAAAAAAAACAAGGTACACAAACAAACAAACAAAAGATAATACAAAACATTATATAAATAATATTGTCAGTCTTATTGTTAAAATAAACATTTATAAATGTTTACAATGTCAAAGAACAAAAAACTTAAAAAATAATATTCAAAAATATTTAGCCAGTTTATAGCAAAATATCAATGACCTCTAAATAAATTAATTTCGATGTCATTAGTAAATATAGCAATAGCAAACATTAGACCAGTGTTTTCAAGATCAAATTCGATTTTCAATTCAAATATAATTCATTTACGGCGTAGAAAGCCTTGTCTAGTAAATAAGAGTTCAATGCTTTGCGAAATGAAAAAAATGATGTTATGGATTTGATTTCAAATGGCAGGTGATTGTGCATTTTTTCGAGTTGTATAATATTGAACTTTTAACTAACTCTGAGCGTGGGTAGGTAGATAAAGATCTTGCTCCGCGTTCCTGAGTGGAGAAGTGTGAGATGGCCTTTCTTGAGAAGCTGATACATGTTTACGTATTAGGAAAACGGATTCAAATATAAATAAGGAAGGAAGAGTCAATATTCTTAATTCCTTAAAAGCCCTGGCAATGAGTTCTGCTGTTTAGTCCTAGTGAATATCGAACAGCTCTCTTCTGGAGCTTGAAAAAATGCGGTCAAATTGAGTCGCACAACACGTAGCCACTGACAAGTTAAGCTCCTTAGAAACAGACCTTAATGCAAACAGGCAGAGCTCAATTTTTTCGACAAAGCTTCGATATGTATGTCCCATTTCAGAGAATTGTCCACAACAAGCCCTAAAAATTTTACAGATTTTACGACGTCAATGGTGGTGTTGTTAAGTACAAAAGGCTGCAACAAGTTTTTATACGACAAAGCTTTAGTTTTAGAAATGTTGAGACTCAGGAGGTTCGAATCGCACCAAGATTTAATGGTGATTAAGTCATTTGATATAATCCTATGAAGTGCCGTGATGTCCTTGTTGCTCCAAGTGAAGTTAGTGTCCGCAAAAAGACATATTTTGCCACTGATGTTTATGTTAGCAATGTCGTTAATAAAAAAGAAGAAACAAAATAGGGCCTAGTACTGAGCCTTGTGGTACTCCACATTCTATTGGCTTGCTAGAACACAACGTGGTATCCACCCTCACAAGTTGACTTCTGTTGCTCAGATACGACTTAAACCATTCGAGAGATGATCCCCTGAACCCATAGTGCTGCAGTTTATTAATTAGGATCTTATGACTTACACAATCGAACGCCTTTTAGAAAAAAATCACAGAAAATTGTTGCTGTAGAATGATGGTTGTTTAGGCTGGAGTAAACTTTTATTAAGGAGGGAAAACATAGCGTCATTTGTGGACTTGTTGCTTAGAAATCCAAATTGATATTCAGTAAGTATTTTGTACTTAAACAGAAAAGATACCAGCCTTCTTTTAACCAAACTTTCTATGATCTTAGATAGCGTTGGAAGGAGTGCAATTGGGCGATAGAAGCTTCATCTTTGTCTCCTCCTTTGTGCAGAGGAATGATTATTGCCGTCTTAAGACATTTTGGAACGACATGTTTATTAAAGTTGTTAGGTGATTCAGAGTGCTTTCTGGCAGATTCGAAAACATTTTTAAAGTTAGCCCGTCGGTCCCAGAAGAGGATTTATTTTTGATGGTATTAATTGTACTGCGAAGCTCTTCAAGAACTACGGGCGAAAAAAAGAAACTGTGTAAGTTTACATTATCATTAGAGAGATATGAAAGTGGATCATGAGAAGGACATATGGTATTAGTTAAGTTTTTCGCTACAGTTACAAAGTAATCGTTAAGGTTCTCAGGTGAGGTAGAGATATTGCTAGACGAAGAAAAGCTTTGTTTCTCAACTCATTCACAAATAGACCATGTTTCCTTAGCAACATTACCAGAATTGACTATTCTCCTATTATAATAAAGGTCCTTAGCGGCTCTTATAGTCTTGTGATAAATTTTCTGTATAGTTTACGTAATTGTGGAAGAAGAGACTGTCTGCGAATTTTTTAAGTGAGATAATGAACGCATGTTTTTTAGAAGATATGCGTAGACCTTTAGTGGTCCAAGGTTTATTATGCTTATTTTTATAGGCCTAAGAGGAAAGTTTTTGAACGCTAGACTGGTTAATGTTTTTACGAAAATAGAAAATTCGGTGTCGACATCATAAAGAGCTTGTATCCCAGTTGGTTGTTTTACATAAGTGGCTGAACTTTTGAGCATTCTTTTCTGAAAAAAATACGACATAATTTTACGAGGGGCATTTTTGATTTTGGACTTTATCGAAAATTCAGTTAAAACTGCTTCATGATCAGAGAGACCCGAGCTAAAGACGTTGCAGGCGATGGAGTTAGGATCAAAAGATGATACAACATAGTCTATAGTACTAGAACTGGTATTGGATATTCTTGCAAGAAAAGGGAATCCAATCACCACCTCTGGCAATGAAAGATCAGGTTTGGAATATTGTCAAGCAGAATGTACCTCCTAAAACGTTAAGCATTTTTTGTCGGTTAGGCAAATTTATTTTACCAAAAAGCCACTGGCAAGCTGGTTATAGTTTGGATTCAACCCAGTGGTGTTTACAAAAAAAAGACATTTTTATATTGTAGATTTTCTTCGAGCAGGCGAAAAACCCAGATTTTTTTTCAATGAACCTACAGAGCAAAGATTCTGGAAAGTTAAATCACTGTCTTGACTTTATTTATAATCCTTACTTCTGAGTCTGGAATCTAACCCAGTGACAATTTAAAATAAACTTTTTTATTTTTCTGTTTTTGTTGTTATGACCTGGAAGACTCAATCTCTGTAACCTGGAATGGGAATCCTTCAACGGTCTAAGATACTCGAAAAAGTTTTTGAGAACTTACGACTAAGAAAAATCAAAGATTTTCCTTCATTTAAGTAAGAACAATCATCCGATTGTCACGGGGTTTCTAACAGAACACTATCTCCTCAACGAACACCTCTGTAGGAGTTGAGTAACAACGGCTAATGCAGATTCTGTGGGGAAAATGAGGAAACACCAGAACACCTTATTACTGAGTGCGGCGAGACGACAATCGTTCTTGCCATAAACTTTGGTACGGCTGATGTCGGAGATGGAGAGCTGGCCTCTGTGGAGCAATCCCAGATACGAACTTTTGTCAAAGCCTTGGGACTGTATGATGAGTTATAACTCGTTATAACTCAAGAAAGAGGAATACACAATAGATTTATAAGGTCGCGGTGATTAACCTCCTCTTAAACATTCTACATCAATATGATATTTGGATAAACGCTTTCATTTCTCCTTATTACCAAATTCAAAAACAAATAATACTTTGCCATAGGTTTCAAATCTTCAATTATAGAGAGCACTGGGTCTAGATCACGACATATATAGATTCTTCTTTCGATTTCATTTCCTTCGACACGGCTTGAACGGTTACAGAATAATTTCTTCCAGGGAAAAAGGGCCTCTAGTTCTATTTTTGTCTGGTTTGTCATAACTGTATTACTATCACCTAGAAAGAGGGATTATTAATAAAAATAAATATAATATTATAAATAAATTCTAATAATTGACGAGAAAAATAATTCACAATGGAACAAAACAACAGAAACAGAGATGTTAGTGTAGAGAGCCAACAATCACGAGGTAAGAGGAGGGGCACTGAGAAGTAATACATCCTTAAGTAGCAAATTTTATTTTATAAAGGCTGTATAAACAGTTATGTGATAATTTTTATAGGATATCTCAATTCATATAACGTGCTATAAGACCGGAATATGATAGCTTTTTACAACCAAAAAGGCCTATTTTTATACAACCGTTTAGTAGTATAGAAGTTCTATAAAAAAGGTATACAACTCTTATGCAACTATTTTACACAGCGTCATATAACTATTATAAAACTAGTTTTATTGTGTATTACGTGGTCACGTCTAAGAAACAGAACAATAAAAACATTTGATCATTTAGCGAGGTAAAAGAGTATTTTATTTTTTACCGAAGAATATTAGGAGCAAATTATATTTTAAGCATTTTATGTCGTAAAATGAATCTTGAGGATGTGGATTGTTAAAAGGAGACTTAACTTGACAATGAAAATGGCGGGTAGAGCCATAAGGTACAACAAATATGTAATATAAAAAATCATTAATAGGGTTTGAAAAGTAGGGACAATTTTTGTTGCGCCGAAAATTTTACTGGTAGATTGTAGGTATGTATTTGGCAAAAAATTAAAGCGCTTTATTTTCGATTCGTATAAATTTAAACAATAAAATAAAATAAAATTTTCAAAAATTCTTGTTTTTAATTTAATTAAACACTTTATTACTGTTATGTGGGAATCTTATCACAAAATAGTTCTCATAAATAACATTTTAAAATTTATTTTCATATTTTTAATTTTGCCTCATATAATGGCGGCCATAGGCCATACAAAAATTCTGCCTTAAACATGGCGAATTATAATGCAACCATTTTATTATAAACGAATCCCTTAAATAAGTGTTTGTTGTAAAATAAAACGGTATAGGATAAATATCTATCATTACGCAGAATTTCCAGGTACTATAGAACTATTTTGGACATATTCAGATTTCTGACAAATAGATGTTGCCAAATCTCATTTGATTAGTATTTAAACTAACAAACATGATCAGATTTTTATGGATTCATGCACGCAATGCATTTCATGCATGCCCGACGAGTGAGTGGCAACCTAAGGACTTGGAAAAACAACAATAAAAAAATACAAACATTACTTCAGTAAAACTTTTACATCAACGTGGCAACAATGTTTTGAAGAAGCCACACAACCCGAGATATTTTGGCTTTTGGGAACCCAGAGAATTCTCGGGATTATTTGCCGTAATTTCGAGGAGTTTTTTCTTACATGCTCTTTATAACTACCACTGCGTTTGTTAACTTTTTTCCAACTTTGTCCAGAATTCATAATAGCTGTGATTGATTAAACTCGTACGTAGATATTACTTTTGCAACAACATAACAAAATAAATAACTAGGTATACCATTTAATTTAAAATGAAGTTATATTATGCATTACCAGTTCTATAATACAGATATTACAGCGAATTTATTTTGTTAATCACAACTTTATCATATAAGGCTATATAACTGGTGTTGTATACAGT